GCTCATACATAGAATGGCTTCTTAAGCAAATACGGGTGATGTGGGACACACACACCCTCGCCTATGATGAAAAATCCAGATATGTCACATTCACCGATCGCACCCTGATAGACGAGAAGGCTGCTTTTTTAGCATTCCATGGGGCAGCTTTGTTTCTTCTTTGTATTTACAAAAGGTGCAGTGAGTAACAGAGAGGGGAGATTGGAGGAAAACACTAGCCAAGAAAAGAACTTTAAATATTGGGAAAAAACCCTTGGAAATTGGAATTTCATTTCCATGTTAGAAACTTAAACAAGGATTTAAAATGTCAATAATATTATAAAAGGACTAGGATTACATGATTCTATTTCTTGATGAGGATCATACGATCCATCTTTAGCATTATATTCTGTAAGGATATTATGGCAGATAACAAAAAGGACCACAAGTTCTTTTGTGCTCGTGTTCACACCCTTTTGCAAAGTGACTTTGTAGCCCCACGCCCATCCAGAGGTAGATCCTGAATCTGGGTTTGGCCGTGTGATTTTCTTTGGCCAATTTAACATCTGTGTCTTAGTCTGTCGAGGCTGCTATTACAAATACCCTAGACGGGCTCATCAACAACAGAAATTTACTTCTCACAGTTCTAGAGGCTGGAAGACCAAGATCAAGGCCCTGGCAGATTCGGTGTCTGAGGAGCCTGCTTCCTGTTTCAGAGACAGCTGTCTTCTCACTGTGTCCTCATGGGGACAAAGGGGACAGGGAGCTCTGGGGTCTTCTTTAGGAGGGCACTAATTCTATCATGAGGGTTCCACTCTTGTGACCTAACCACCTCCCAAAGCCCCACCTCCTAATACCATCACATTGGGGGTTAGGTTTCAACATATTAATTTGGGGGGGGGGGGACACAAATATTCAGTCCCTAACAATCAGCAAATGTGACATCAGCAGTGACCTGCACAGTGCTTGTACACTGGGGCTTCTCTTCCTGCTGCTCCTGGGGACTCTGACTGCGCCATGTCAAGGAGCCAAGGCTAGCCTTCAGGAAGATGAGCGACACATGCCCCCATCCCCAGCCAGCACTACTGGCCATGGGTTGACTACAAATGCATGAGGAAGCCCAGGCAGCCCCACCATCCCAGGGAGCCCAGCCCAAATTGCCCACCCACAGACCTGTTAGCAGATAAATTGGCTTCCATCATGTTTGGGGTGGTTTGTTATTCGGCCAAAGCTAACCGATACAGATAGCCAATCTCATCCATCACCCTTGGTGAGGGAGTACAGCACGTAGGTCAAGTGATCAGCACTACGTCTGAAAGGGAGAGTGAAACAGCAAAAACAGAATCCTGCTCTGGATTTTCTCTTCATGGTCCAAGGTGCAGGGACACACTGGGATATGTTCAAAGTTGTATTTTAGGAGATCTATGAGGATGGGTCTTACTTTGAAAATGAGTTCCAATACGCTTGAAAGACAGATTATTTGAAATTGCCTAATTTTCAATTTCTTAAAAGTAATAATCTCCTTTTCCTGTACAATTGTATTCGATTAAATATAACTGCCCCATTTGGAAAAGACAGGGAAAAACATGAAAGTGGGACAAGAGGATCTATCAGTAAAATAACTAAAGTAAAACAAGGCAGAGCCTGAGGTCCTGATTCTCTACCTGCTCTTGCAGCTACTCTGCCCCTGCGGGAACACCCTAGAGAGCGGGAACGGACCAGCAAGTCGGGGGCGGGGGGGGTGCAGTCTCTGTATTTAAAGAGAGACTTTCCTTAGTATAATTCATCTACAACAAGTGGGAAAATTGAAAAGCCATGAAGTTTCACTGCCATTGTCCCATAAATCTGAAATTATAAAGCTAGACGTTCCAAGGATTTTACACGGACAGTTGCTGGGTTGATGTTGTTGGAATTGTATCGCCCACAGCTCCGGATAACAGAAGCTACCTGAAGAGGCATCGCTTAATCCACAGAACCGAGTAGAGCACTAACACAGTCCGCTGGCCTGTCTAGGAAGTTATTTTGTGGGAAGGAAGGTTGGCTTCCCTGGGGTGCAGTGTCCTATGAGCAATTGGGACCCCACAACAGCGAGAGGACATGGATGGCACACATAGCCTCCTATTTATAACCAGTTTGCTAGCAACGGCCGCTGATGAGAAGTGGATCACCACCTGTGCTGGGGAGTTGTGGGATCACATTGATTCTTCTTTAAACCGACAGATGGACGGGAGGTGAGGCTCGTGGGTGTGGCCCAGGGAACCTATGGAGGAAAGTCCCAGGAGGTGTCTGCAGGGTCAGACTCACTCGTGTGCCCGAGCACCTACCCCACCTCACGTTCTGTTCTAAGCCCCTCACATGGATCAACGAATTTATCCATCACCCTACAGAGTTCTACAGATGAGGAAACAGGCCAAGGTTGTTCAGAATTCAAACCCAGGCAGTCTAGTTTCAAAGCCTGTACATTGCTGTTGAACACAATGTACAATACAAATGTACACAATAAACTAAAAGTCCAGTACTTCAAAGTGAACTCAGTAGAGAATGTCCATGGGAAGTTTTCAATTTCCTCCAATAAGTCCAAACTGTGCTCGGATGAAGTCACCTGTCCTATCCTTAACAGTGGCTCAGGCAGATACGGACCTTCCAGATTCCCTCCAGGAGCTGGGGAAGCCCTGTCCTGCCTGGATAAAAGCTGCCCTCCACACATTTGGACGCCCAGCTGCTCCCCAGCCACTGCGGGCTAGCCACCCCTTCTCCAAAGATCCTTCCACCTGGCTCCATGGAATTCAGAATCCATGAACTTAGATGATGAAACAAGCACACATTCATTTTCACCAAGCTCTACTGAAATGCAGCATCCCTTTCCAGCATTTCCATTATTTCCACAATCCTCTATAGTATTAGCGGTATCTGCAACTTGGTCACCAGTAGAAAAAACAGATACTATCGTGTTATATTACAATAACTTCAGATATCATGAAACATCATTATGCTCATCAGCACTTTACGATGTAATCACACTTGCTTCTAGATCATGCATCGAATGTGTTAATAAAGAAGTATATATATTACTATATAAAAATGTTTAAGAATTTTGATAAGTACGTTCAATATAATAGGTTTCTTTAAAATACTATGTTTGTATTTTACTATCTGAATTTTTTTTCTGAGAAGAGCTCTGACGGTCTTCGTGGACGGCCAGAGGCGTCCATAGCACACAGAACAAACAAACGAACAAGACCTGGGGGCTGAGGGGCCTGAGACAAGCAGTGGGCAGCGTCTTCCTCCTTGTCTTTCTCCTTCTTGCTTGCCTGGTCCTTTTCTCTAGGATGGGGACCAGGTGGGGTGCACGAGGACAGCAACAGCCTTCTGCTGAGCTGTGCAAGCAAAGCTGTCCCCTGCATCTGCTCTGAGCCTTCTGAGGGCCTGCGGCTGAGTGTCTGTAACTCCCTAATGTCAGATCCTCGACCCTGCAGAACCGACTCTGGCTTGTCCCCTTTCCATTCCAGCTTCAGCTCTTGCCTCACAAGTGTCTCACACTTATTCACGGCTGGGACCCCCTTCCCCAGAGGCAACCCTCTTTGGAAAGGGCCAGAACATCTCAAGCCAGCTCCTTATCCTCAGGCCCCTAGAGAAAGCTCACCCCTCCATGCCACAAAACCGGTGGGTACACAGGTTGTGTCCTGCTGCCCCTGCCCAAGCTCTGCTCTGCCTCCTTCCCCCACTCTGCAGGGCCCTGAGCAGAAGTGTGCTGGGAGCACAAGCCGAATTGCACCGGATCATGAGATGCCACGCTCCCCCTCTTAGGGGCACCGCCAAGTCTGAACAGTTCCCTTGGTCTCCCAGCTTAGGGCCTTGGCAAGGGCCCTCTCCTCCCCAAGAGGAGGGACAAGCACAGCACCCCCTCCAGGCTGACGGCTCATGCTCCCCTCATTCCCCTGCTCTTCTCCTCCTTCCCAGAAGAGGGGCCAGGGGTGGCGGTGGAGGGAGCCCAGTTGTTTCTCACAGATGGCAACTTGTCCCGCAATTGTTGGCAGCTGTCTTCAGAATATGTGACACTGGATGCCTCTTTTTCTTCAGTTTGGGGTTCTAGTTCCCAATGAGGGCAGCAGGAACAGTCCCACTCACTCAGCATCCTCCTGCAGCAGCAAAGGCTAAGGAGGATGTCCTCCGAGGAGCCATCCACCACATGGCTCCCGGAAGAGACGCTGCTCACCAAATCCCCAACTTCAGTTAAGGATTCCAAGAACCCTCACTCACTACGCAGCTGGGCCAGGCCCCCATAGGCCCTACACTTGACAGGAGCCTGGAGGCAGCCCTCGGCAAGGGCAGGATGAAAAACACAGGCATTTAGGGACAAGATTTCTGCAAGTACCAAGGAAGGCTTCTTAAGAGGAAACTGCCCAACAGAGGGATACCGTGCAACGGATGTCCATTAGCAGTTCTTTCAAAACGTGTTTTCACTATATTTCTACCATTATAATTCATATTCACAAATTCTGGTGAAAGAGTTCATTTTGTGCATTTGGAATAATTCTCCATCCACTTTCCACCCTACTCCATCACATTAATAAAACGCTTGGTCCTGGCCACAGGTCCTAATTACTACCTAGTGATTTGCTTCAGGGTAACCTCGTTAAACACTGAATAAAGAGACAGTGCTACTGCAAATTTTAGCAAACCCTTCAGCTGAGGTGGAATATTGCAGTAAGAGGCTAGGGGGTGCCATCTGCAGTTTGTTCTAGAAATTTCTCCTAGACTGCAAGCGATGGGCTGATTTGTAAACACACACTGTTTCACTGAAACGGCTGGCAAAGGCTGCTCAAAAGCAGTCTGCAGAATTTTCTCATTTGCACCAGAAAATAAATATCCCTTAAGGCAGAATGCCTTGGCACCTTTCCTGTGAAACTTGCCCCAAGCGGCGAGTCAAGGAAATCAGGTGGGAATCTTTCTGCTCAAAGGGAGCCAGGGCGGTCCCCGGGAAGAGGGTGGTAACACACGAACCGAATGCCAGAAGTCACCTGCGCTCTGCTTCCAACTGGAAGTCTAAAAAAGGCACTTCCTGATCGTGGCTGAATGACTCAGTGTCACCGTGACTCAGCCCGCTCCCCGCTTGCTCAGGCGGTGGGAGAATGAGGCCAGATGCTCTGCAGTCGGGACGCAAAGCCGCGGGAACGTGCGCAGCTATTTCGGGCGAGGAACCGGGACTGAGGAGCGCAGTCCGCGCGCGAGCTCAGGAAGTACAAATAGGGCGTTAATGAGAGGAAACGCTCCCCACGCAGAGGCTGCGGCTGAGTCAGAGCCGCTAGAATCCGCCTCTCCCGGAGCTGCGGCGCGCAGGGGAGGGAGGGGCGCCCGGGCCCTCCTGCAGGTGGGTGCGGGGGAGTAGCACGCAGCAAGCCAGCGCCAGGAGAGCGCTGTGTCGAGGTGACCGTGTCCCCCACCCCCGCAGGCACCTGCTGGTCAGGCTGCACCCCAGACGCGGCGTGTACGGGAGACAGGGCTGCTCCAGCACTCACCTGGAGCAAACTCATGCACGAAGCTTCTGCAGGAAGTTGTCTCCCTGGCCTAGGGCTTCACGTTTACCTTGTAGAACAAATACTAAGTTCTATATAGATAAGTTACAACAAATGTTAAATGCCCTGAGTACCCAGGGAACCGTGACCTCCAGGCTGGATGACCCAGAGGAGCTGGTCAAGAGAGGGAGCTGGAGTGAGCGCGTCCGAGTCCCAGAGCAGTGCTCAGGGAGGAAGGGGGATGCGGGCCTCTGGTCTCCATCCCACCTTGGCGGGGCCAGGTGTCCACGTGTGCAGAGGTGTAAGGACAAGCGGAGAGAGTCAGTGATGGACCCAAGAGAAAAAGGTCCTGGAACCAGAATTATTTCAAAAATTGTTCTGAAAAGAGCTGCCTGGGTGGTGGGTGACCTGGCCATTAATGTGGAGGCTTTAAAGAGAACAAGGGGCTTTCGTATCATTTCAGAGCCAGGAGAGGCCTCGCCGTTGGCAGAGAGAGAAAGCTCTTACAAGCAGCAGCATGATCAACGGGGCATAGACAGGAACGTTCATTTTCCAAAAGTTACCAATAGGCTTGTGAAATATTTCTCTCTTGATCTTAAGAGAGAGTCTGAAGGCACTGGTGTGACCCAGGTATGGTTTGGAAGTGGGAGAAGAGGGGGCTTGAGATCTGGAAGCTGACTGCAAACTCGTTATCACTGGGGACCCTAATTATTAAATACTTCCTGTGTGTATATCTTAGCTTCCAAATGATCTGATCCTGTAAGGGGAGATGGGTTTTACCGCCTTATCTCTTCCCAAGGGATCAGGAGAGTGCCTGGAGAAATAAGTGGATGTTTAATAAATGTTTGATTGATTACCTCCACAATGTGTGTCATTTCCTTTTATGAAACCAACAGGGAGACAGTGGAATCAGACAACTACAACTAAAAGGAGGAAAAGGATGAGGAGCTGCTTCTAACAGGGCGTGAAAACATCTTAAATCTGGAATAACCAAGGTTGAAGAGGTCATGAACTCTGAAGAGCATGATCTTGACAAAATCTCAGATACTTAAAAGTGACTCTAGGGGACATCTTTTAATATTGTGGAGCCATCTTCTCAGATCTAATAAGACTAAATGCTTTTTTGCAGTGTGGGAATTAAGTTTAGGAAGGTTGTCATTCAAATAGAAATGATTCAAAGACGGGACAGGAAGTTGTGGAAAGAGGGAGGAAATGACCCGTTGGCCGATACACTTCCCAGGCAGGATTGTGCCCTATGACCTTGCACCCCGGCCCTGCTCAGGGCCTGGATGAAAGAAGACGTGAGTCTGCTTCTTCCTGTGCACACTTCTCATTTAATCTCATCTCTCACTTGGTCTTCAAGGCAACATTTTGAAGTAGGCAGCATTCATGATCCCCATTTGTAATCCAACCCTCAACCCCACTCCCATCTATCGCATACTTGCAGTTTTCACATCTATAAGCTCATTTTACATACAAGTTACAGGTTTCTTTGCAATGATTTTTTTTGCACAGAACATTTCTTAAGGGCTCAATATTATTTATTTCCATTTATCCTGTTCCCAACATGGTACCTGAGAAATGATAAGCATGCAGTATAGGAAGGATGAAGAGATAGATGGGATGGATGGATGGATGGGTGGATGGAAGGATGGATGGAAGCCGTGATAGAATAGGTGGAAGGATGGATCCATGAGGCAGCAGAACAAGCTTCTCCTTCTCCTATAAATTCCTCCTAGTCTATGATTCTGGTTTGGAAGAAATGCAAAGTAAAAATGACCTAGCTTATGCAAATCTCTGGGAGGTGAGATACCTTGACCAAGGTCATGAGTTTGGAAGTGGCAGGGTCAGAATCTGAATTCAGATCTATCTAGTTTCATGAGTACGACAGAATGGCCCTTGGGATCAGATAAAGATTAGGAAGACAGACCCAGCATCTGAGCCCTAGGATGTAAGAGTTCTGATGTGAAATTGATGGTACCCAAAATGAGCATAAGCCACTGTATATTATTTAAAGGACAGTTAGCTGTAACAAAAAAGTGTTTGGGAAGAGCAAGTATATATCTATTAACATAGAAAAGCCCTTGCTTAATAGTTAACTAAATCATTGACTTACAATGCATTCAAGCATTAGAAATGAGAGTGGAAAAATGTTTACAAAGAATGAAGTCGAATCATTTGTTTCTTTTCTGTACCTCACCATCATACTTATCACCATCAAACTAGTACTCTTTCTGCTTCTAAACTGCTTGTCACGGTTGGTCCCGGTGAGATGGAGGAAGTGTTCCCCGGCCTCCCCCGCCTCGAGGCAGCTATCAGAGGACTCAAAGCAGTAATAGCAGACAGACTGGGAAAGAAGACCAGCCTTGGATGCGCCATCAAACCAGTGGGGATTTACCAAAAAGGAATCTATTTTGCTCCTGGCCTCCTGCTATTTGGCCCAGGAGTGGCTACAGTTGCAGGAAGTTTGTGCAGCATGAGGTAAGTAAAGACTCAGTTTTTTGGACAAAGGATCAAAAAGAGGAACCTCAGGAAACTGGAAAGTAATGGGAAGACTATGACGAGGCTAGACCTTGAGAAGGTGAACCCATAAAGTGGTTTATGAACTCCAGAACTCACCTTTGATCTGTGCAGGCAAAGCTCTGACTCTAAAGAGCATGCCAAGGACTTTGAGAACTGGCCACACTGCCCACACCCTAAACAGGCCACAGGGTGGCGTTCACATGGAACAGATCAGCGTAGCCCTGCAAAAATGGATCTGACACTGGAACTATAGACCATGGAAGGTGAGTTGGAACTTGGAGCCTGGATACCAACCAGGTCAATGACCTACAAAAATATGAACATTTTCTTATAGGAGAAAGAGATAAATCTACAGATTCAAGAAGATAAGAGAACCCAATCTACACCCAGACATGGCATAATTGGTTATCTGAAAATTAAAGACAATGGGAAATCTTAAAAGTAACCAAAAAACGACACATTATTTATAGGGGAACAATGATAAGAATGACTGAGAATTTGTTATCAGGAACTACGGAGGCCAGAAGAAAGGGAAGTGAACAACAGTTTTGAATTGCTGAAAGAAAAGAACTGTCATAATTCTGTGTTCAGTGAAAAAAATCCTTCAAGAAGGGAAAATGAAGACATTTTCAGATAAAGGAAAATTCAAAGAACTTGCTGCCAGCAGACCTACTCTAAATGAATTGTTAAAGGATGTTCTTCAGACGCGAGGGAAATGACACAGAGAAAATTCAAAACATCAGGAATAAAGGAAGAAAAATAGAAATGGTAAATATCTGGGTAAATATAATAGACTATTCTCCTCCTGAATTTAAAAAAATATGTCAACATAGTAAAAAATACAATAGGTAAGTTAAAATAGCATACTAGAGAATGTAAATAACTCACACACACAAAAAGGCAGAAAAATAGGAATAAAAAAATGGAAGTAGCAAACAGAAAATGAATCACAAAAAGCTAGACCTAAAACCAAACACACTAATCATTATACTAAACATAAACACAGCATACACATACCAGTTAAGGGACAGATATTGTCAAAATGAATGTTAAAAACACGACCCATTTCATGGCCATGTTGTCTGCAAGAATCTCACTTCAAGTACAATGATATAGATAGGTAAAAAGTAAAAGAATAGAAAAGATACACCATGCAAACAGTAAGCAGAAGAAAGATGAAGTGGTTATATTAATATCAGACAAAGTAGATTTCAGAGCAAAAAAAATAATTGCCACAGATAAAGAGGCACATAGCATAAGATGAAAGGGCCAACTCTCTGGGAAGACACAATAATACTAAATTGTGTGCACCTAACACCAGAGCTTAAAACAGATAAAAGCTGTCCGAACTGAAAGAAGAAATTTAAAAATTTATAACATTAGAAACTTCAATACTCATCTCTCAGTTATTGATAGAAAATTAGCAGAGATATAAAATAACTCAACAATACCACCAACTAAATTGACTCTAATTTACATTCATAGAACAATCTACCCAACATTAGTTGAATATGTATTCAATTGTACATGGGACATTTACCAAGAAAGACCACACCCTAAGTCATAAAATACACTTTAACAAATGTAAGATTATTAAAATCATATATGGTATGTTCTAAGATCATAAGGAAATTAAAACAGAAATCAAAACCAGAAATATAACAGGAAAATCTACAAACACTTGGAAATTAAACAACACACTTCCAAATAAACCATGGATCAAATGAAGTATCAAGGAAAATGAGAAATTATTTTGAACTGAATGTAAACGAAAATACAACTTAACAAAATCTGTGGGATGCAGGAAAATCAGTGCTTAGAGGGAAATTTATAGCACTAAATTCTTATATTAAAAAAGAAAAAAGTCTCAAATCAATTAAGCTTTCACCTTCAAAAACTAGCAAAAGGACAAAGTAAACTCAAGAACATGAAAGGAAATAATAAAGATAGGAGTAAAAAACAAAACAAAACAATGAAAACAGAAAAACAATAGGAAAAATTCAATGAAACTAAAAGCTGTTTTTTTTGAAAAGATTAATAATATTGATAAACTTCTAACAAGCCTGACAAAGAAAAAGACAGAAGATGTAAATTACCAATATCAGGAAAGATATAGAAGACATCACTACAGGTTCAATAGATATAAAGATAGCAAGGGCATACTGTGAACCACTCCACACACATAAGTTCAACAACTTAGAATGAACTAATTCTTGAAAGGAGAAACTATCAAACTTATCCAAGATTAAATAGATAAACGGAATAGTCCTATAACTATTGAAAAAAGGACTTCTAGTTAAAAAACATCCAAAAATGAAATTTGCTGGCCCAGATAATTTCACTGGCAAATTCTATTAAACATTTAAAGAACTGCACAAACTCTACATAATCTCTTCGAGAAAATAGAAGCGGAGGGAATATTTCCCACCTTACTTTTGGACAATGACATTATCTGATAAACAAACCAGACAAAAACAAGACAAAATGAAAGCTAAAAATCAATTTCCCTCACTAACAGAAGCACAAAAACCCTCAATAAAATATTAGCGAATCAAACCCAGAGACATATAAAAAGAATAATACACCATAACCAAGTGAGTTTTATCCTAGAAATGTGAGACTGATCCAATCTTTGATTATCAATCACTGTTATCCACAACAGTGACAGCCTAAAAGAGAAACCTCACATAACCTTGACAGTTGATGCGGAAAAAGCATTTGACAAAATTCAACATCCACTCCTGATTAAAAACCCTCAAGTATAAAGCCATCTATATAAAAACCTACAGTTAACACCATACTTAATGGTGAAAGACTATATGCTTTTTTCTTTGAGTCAAAAACAAGGGAAGGATGTCCTTGCTTACCACTTCTATTCAACATTGTACTGGAAGTCCCAGACGGGGCAAAGAGGCAAGAAAAAGAGAAAAGGGAGTCCAAGTATGGACAGGAAGAAATAGAACTGTCCCTACTCACAGACAACAGGATTGTCTATGCAGAAAATCCTAACAAAGCCACAAAAAGTCCTCCTGGAGCTAGAAAGAGAATTTAGGAAAGTCCCAAGATGCAAGGTCAACACACACACAAATCAATCATATTTCTATAGCTTAGGCACATACAATTAGAAATCAAAATTTAAAAAATAATGCCATTTTACAATGGCTCTAAAAAGTTAAATACTCAGGTATAAATATAACGAAATAGGTACATAATCTGTGTGCTGAAAACTACAAAATGATAATTAAAAAAATCAAAGAAGACCTAAAAGAATGGAAAGACATACTATGTTCATGGAATATAAGATTTAGCAGAGCAAAGATGACAGTTCTTCCCAAACTGATCAATGGATTTAATGCAATTCCAATCAAAATCCTACAATGCTTTTGTAGCTGAATCTCAAATTTATATAGAAAAACAAAGAAACTAGAATACTAAAAACAATTTTGAAAAGGAAGCACAAAGTAGGAGGGAGGAATCACACTAACTGATTTTAATACTTAACTTTAAAGCTAAATTAATCAAGACAGCATAGTGTTGGTGAAGGCAGTCACATAGGTCAATGAAACAGAATAGCCCAAAAACAGAACCAAAGTAGTCACTTAATTTTGACAAAGATGCAAAATCAATTCAATGAAATTATAGCCAGATATCTATGGCCAACTAATTTTTGACAAGAGTGTCACGACCATCCAATGGGGAAAACATAGTCTCTTTAATAAATGGTGCTGTGACAACTGGATATCCACATGCAAAAGAATGAAGTTGATCCCTTATCTCATGCCATATACAAAAATTAACCCAAAGTGGATCAATATCCTAAATATAAGAGCTAAAGTCATTAAACTTTTGGAGAAAAATATAGGAGCAAATGTTCATGATTTTGGATTTAGAAATGGATTCTTTGACTTGACATCAAAATCATGAGCAACAAAAGAGAAATAGATAAATTGTACTTAAAGAAAATTCAGAAATTTCGTGCATCAAAGGACATTATCAAGAAGTAAAAAGACAATCCACAGAATGGAAGAATATATTTGCAAATCACATATCTGATAATGGTCTAGTATCCAGAATACATAAAGAACCCTTACAACCAAACAACAAAAAGACAAACAACCCAATAAAAATAGGCAAAGGACTTGAACAGACATTTCTTGAAAGATGTATAAATGCATAATAAGCACATGAAAATATGCTCAACATCACTAGTAATTAGGGAAATGCAAATGAAAACCACAATGAGAGACTACTTCACACCCGGTAGGAGGGCGATCATCAAAAAATGGAAAATAAAAGTGTTGGTAAAGATATTGAGAAATTGGAGCCCTCATATATTATTGGTGGGAATGAAAAATGATTCAGCCTCTATGGAAAACAATTTGACAGTTCCTCAAAAAGTTAAACACAGAGTAACCATAGGACTCAGCTAGGTAACCACTCCTAGGTGTATCCTGAAGGAATCAAAAACAAGGACTCAAATAAATACATGTACAAACATGCTCATAGCAGCACTACTGACAACAGTCAAAAGGTCAAAACAGTCCAAACGTCCATCAGTGAATGAATGGATAAAAAATTGTGCCATGTAGATACAATGTAAATTATTTGGCCATAAAAATGAATGAAGTAATTATATACGCTATAACATGGATGAACCTTGAAAATATTATGCTAGGTGAAAGAAACTAGACACAAAAGTCACAGATTGAACAATCCCATTGTATGAAATCCAGAGCAGGTAAATCCATAGAGGCAAAAAGACTGATGGTTGCTGGGGGCTGGGGGGGTCACCGCTGAGTGGACACTGGACTTGCTGTGATGAAAAGGTTTTGGAACTAGATGTAGGTGGGGGTTGCACAACATTGTGAACGTACTAAACCGTTCACTTTAACATGGTGAATTTTCAGTTATGTGAGTTCATTAATTAAAAAAAAAGTTTTAATGGATTACAAATCTAAATGTAGCATATAAAACTATAAAACTTTTAGGAGAAAATCTAAGTAACCTAGGGTTAATCAAAGAGTTCTTAAACATGCTACCAAATACATGTCCCATGGAAAAATATCGATAAATCAGAGGTCATCAAAATTTAAAACTTTAGTTCTGTGAAAGATACTGCTAAGAGGCTGAATTTGCAAATCTCATATCCAACAATTGACTTGTAACCAGAATATCCAAAGAACTTTCAAAACTCAACAATATGAAAAGAAACAATTTAAAAAAGAAGCAAAGACTTAAGAGATTCTTCAAAAAAGAGGATTTACCGATGGCCAAAAAATATGTGAGAAGATGTTCAATATCCTTGGCCATTAGGGAAATGCAAATTGAAATCACGGTTAAATGCCACTACATACTTATTAGGACAACTAATATAAAGATAGTGACAATACCAAACATCGGTGAGGATGTGGAGCAGTTGGAGCTCGCCTACAATCCTGGTGGAAATGTGAAACAGTACACGACTCTGGAAGATAGTTTGGCAGTTTCTTATAACGCTAAACAGACACTTACCTTATAACCCAGCAATCCTAGTCCCGGGGCATTTACCCTAAAGACATAAAAACTTATGTTCACACAAAAACCTGAACATGAACGTTTATTCTCTATTCATAATCACCCAAAGCTGGAAAGAACCCAAATGTCCTTCAACAAGCAAAGAGAGAAATGAAGTGTGAGACATCCACGAACTGTAATCCCACCAAGCAGTAAAAAGGAATAAACTATTGATACCCACAACTTCCAGGAATGTCAAACGCGTTATGCTGAGTGAAAGAAGAAAGTCTCAAAAGGTTGAACACCATTATTCCATTCTTGAAGAGACTCGACTACAGCAAAGGAGAGGTCTGTGGTTGGTCGCCAGGGTTGCGGTGGGTATGTGTGTCACTACATAGCAAGAGCTTGAGGGGGTTTTGGTGTGATGTGACTCTTCTGTGTGTGATTTTCATTATGGTCACACGAACCTGTACATACGTTACCATTCATAGAACTGTACGTCACAATAAGTCAGTTTTACCGTAGGTTAATTAAAAAAAAACATAAAAACTGCTTTCAGAATAACAAATAAAAAATGCACAGGATTTGAATGTTGAGATTCAAAGTATCATATTTTCTTCTTTGTACTTCCCTACATATACCAAATTGTATATGACAAATAATAATTTGTGATGATTCAATTTTATACACAGAAACAAAATGCTCTAACATGGCTACCATATGCAGACGTTTAATATTTCTCAGTAACTTCAGTAAACCCTAAGCCTAATGATTTTAGTTTTCTTCTCTCCTACCCAGTCCTATTTATTAAGGAATGCAAACAACCCTTTTGCATCAGTTTCATGAAAGATGGGAAGGAGGCAACTGAAACCAGACCTTGCCGGACGTCTCCTGATCGGGGGTCATGTTTGCAGGTTATCCTATTCTGTCCTCACTGCAGCTGCACCAGGCACAGCCACCAAGAACAAGACAATATTTAGAGCTTTCTCTTGAGTACGCAGTGTCATAGTCATTCTCCATGGATCATATTTTGATCAAGTTTAAACTGAAGCTTAGATGACCAGGGAAAAAGAAATCTGCCATCTTCTTTCTTTTCTACTTTATGTAAGACATGGAATCCAGTCTCTGCTCCACACCCCTCCATCGCGTAACTATCATCTCAGTTCTAACCCCCAATGGATCCACTTTTAATGGCTGGATAGGTGTGTTATTTATCTCTGTTTATCTTGTATCTAACCAGTGCTCGAAAAGTGGCAAACTCTCTCTTGGTATATACACAACAAATGAAGAGATGGGCGGATGGATGACGGCTGCCTGGATGGACAGAAGGAAGGGATGGGGGAGGAAGAGAGGGAGGGAGAGTGGAAGGAGAAGACCAATCTTTTTTCTTTGTCGTCATTTCTGTGAAGTACACACAGTCCAGGACTCTTGTTTGGAAGAAGTGCAAAATGAATATGATCTAAGGTATGCAAAGCTTACAAATTTATTAGTGGCTTGTGCAGTAACTTTTCTTTTAATGTTTCTGTGGCAACACTAGCAACAAATTAATAAAAGCTTAATTTTTATACAAATAGTTTTATTACAAATTTGAATTTTAAAGAAATACACATTTAAAGAAATTACATAAAAGGCCTTAGTAGTCTTAAAAACGTTTGGAGACCTTTAGTGAAATGTCATTTCAGGCATAGTGGTCCAATTCTGCTCTCCTGCAATCCGTCCGCTGCCCTGCTGAAGTCTGAACACAGCTCGTGAAAAACCAAGGAGGCCGCCTGAATGTGCTCACGTGTAAAAATACTGATACTCTGATTCAACAGAGCTGTTTTCCACACCAGCCTGCAGAATGCGGAAGACTAATAAGATGAAGGCCTTTTAAGGTTGTCGCTTTTGAAGTCAAGTCGTTCAGTTTGTGATTAGTGTTTAAAACCCTGAAGATATTTAATACAGAATAAAAACAATAAGCTCCAAGTACATGTTTCACTATAATAGACACCAGTCAGGAACCCGGGTTTGGTTTTGGCAATACACGACTTTTGGTTTGGAGGTGAACAATGAAAACCGATGCTGCACATTCAATACCCTAGTGTTTAAAAATCTATGTTAAAGGACAACACAGTCTTTCAAAGGAAGAAACTATGTAAGCTTTATTTTAACAGTGGAAATGAAACTAAAACTTGACCTGCCTAATTGCTGACATCTATATAAATTACTAAAATATATATATATTTAATTTCTGCCTACTTTTGGACCATCTTTACTCCACAGGATATTCGTGATTTCTGCAAAAGCAGCTGCATAGTACCACACAGAGCAGAAAGGTCTAAATTTATATTTGGGGGTTGGAAGATATGGCTGCTGAGCCCATAATTCCATTTGGAGGTTCGAGACACCGTTTTTACATGATTATCATTTGTACAGACCAAGGGACCTGAATTTTGAAACAGCTAGACAGTGATATAAACAAACATCTCATCTGGGGGTGGAGAATGAATCTATTATAATACAAGAATGAAAACGGGCATTCAAACAGTATGGAAGGCCCCGCACACCTTCGAGCACCCTTTGGTTTTCTGATGGAGTTCTCACTCTACACATCAGTGCACTGGATTGGAGAACAGACTTATATTTTTATTTCATCAAAAGTGCCATTTGGTATGTCACTATTGACAGCTTATCGCGGTCTTGGTTTCTCCTTCAGCAAGTAGAGGCCAACGAAGCAGGGTGGGTTAGTTACGCAGATTCCTATAAGGCACTTTACGGTTTTCATATTGGACAGTGAGGTACACAGGATATATTTCTAGGGTTCGTTGCTGTTAAAAAAAGGAGAAGGGAGGAGGTGGGAGTAGCACCATGTTGTGACGTTAGCTGAGCGCCGGGCTTCATTATGTTCTTCTCATACAGACTTGGCAGCGACTGACGTGCGTGCGCAGCTCCCCAGCCTTCAAGGTGGATGGCGTGGGCTTCCTAAAACGCAGCACAGAGACCAACGGCTGTCACCTCACCGCTCGGCAGACAGGAGGCCAGGTCCTCAGCCCTCCCACCTCCTTGGAGATCTCTAAGGGATGGGATGAGGACGGGCCCCCACCCCAGGAAAGACAGTGACCAGAGCTCACCCTGCCTCTGAGCGGGCGGGCGCTGTGTTCGTGGTGGGCCTTCAGAACACACACAGCGATGCAAGTCATCATCTGCATGCCCCATCCCTGGGCCCTGGGTGGGTGACGTGCCCAAGTGCACACAGCGAGTGAGGACAGAGCAAAAGGCACCCCACGTCTGCCTGGCTCCGGAGCCTCCCCCACTCCCCACTGCACCGCCCTGCCTCCCTGCCCGCCGTTCAACCCTCTGTCCTCTCAACTTCGGCGCAGCCTCGGCCAGGAGAGATGGTGCCCTCTCTGCGACACCTCACACCCCTCAGTGCTCGTTACGTCACCGTTGATGGAATGATGAGCAACAAATCTGGAATAATCAACTAGACCTCGAAAGACTTTTAGAAGTTTGGAAGGGTTTATGTGCAGGTGGCCTGACTGGAGACCAAAGAGAGGGGACGACATTCCGTGCCCCAAATGCTTCTTGATCCCAGGAATTCCCTCTTACTTTGATTGTTGGAAAGGTGAAGTCTGAACTAAAGCTGGCACTAACCAAATTCTATTAAAATTAAAGTAGGCATATAATAAAAGCACCTTGTCATAAAATTGAGGCTGCTTATTTTAGCAGCTTTTGGTGAAAATCCTAGTACCCCCAATTAATTACTTAAATTAATGGGATCTTATCGCTAATTTTGTTTAAGAAAGCATTTTATTTCATTGTCCTATGCTGCTGTTAAAAAAAAAAAAAACCCCAAGATTACCTATTACCCTTACAACGAGAAGCTCCAGGAGCTGACACACGTACAAAGTACTCATTTCGGCAGCTAAATTCTATCTGTAGAGATGATGTCAAGCTCCCAGTTGCCTACAACGTCTCGTGTGAGCTACCAACTAGACACATGGTACTTTTTTGATGCTTAAAGAATTACTGGTAGCGAGCATGTTGCTTCACCTTTTATGATCTAAGCTAGAAAGAGGATCATAGCAGAGTTCCAGAAAATTCTCTCCAAAAAGGTAAAGACGAAAGGCTTATCTCCAGGGGCGAGAAGCATTTATTTCAGGAATGAACACTGAGTAATTGTTCAGGCTCCCTCGGCCCCCTGTGGCTGCTCCAGCAGGGGCTGCAGCTGGCACTCAATAGAGGACAGAGGACTCATTATGTGGTCCTGTCCATTACAGACTGGGCCCGGCTCCAAATTAACTTCTACAAGGCCGGCAGCCACTTGGGACAGTTGTTTTAAAGGTGAAATTTTGGTAATGGAAAAGAAAGGAAAGGCTTCCCTATCGATTTCAGCTGCATTTGTGCTGAAATTAATTTTTATTTGCGCAGATCTAAAAACTAAAGTCTTGTTAAGTCACTCGGAACTCAGACAACACGTACACTAAATTCGGCATCATAAACGCTATGAAAATGAATGCTGTTCACTTTCCTCTCTGAGTGTTAAATATACACTATTTTAAAATGCCCTGTTGGAAGATTTTAGTTGCTTTAATTACACGGTAGTGGATTCACCTAGAAGAATAAAGAATGACCCTGTTCCTTTCTCGGTTCTTCAGTCAATGGAAAAATGAAGCCTGTCGCCTAAGCTCTGCCTTTGAAAATCCTCTCGGTTATCTGCCACAGGGAGCAGAATCAGAGATTCATGGTGACGTGTGGAAGAAGGATTCCTAATTATTGCTTTATAGCTATCTTTGAGCCTTTGCAATGGAAGGTATATGGATCATGGATGATTAAACTTAAAAGTCAGAAAGGGGACGGGGCCTTCAGAGACAGGGGCGTCCGACTTACTTGAACATCTCGCTCCTCTCGATAGTAGCAAGCCAAAAGCTGTAAGCGTTTGCATAGTAATTACAAGTCCCACGGCCGTGGCACTCGATGAAGGGCGCACTTCTAAACTCTTCCAGACAGGAGCCGGGGGACGCCAGGGCTTGACCAGAACCTTCGGCACCAGCGCTAGTGTGCTGCGGAACAAGGGTGAGCGTGAGTCCGAGATCCCCTCCCCACAGACCAGGAGAGAGCTGCACGTTCTCAGGGTGGGGCCAGGATGCCCCTTCCAGAAAGCCGGTTCTGTCTGCCTCCTGTCCCCACAGAACACACCGGTGCCCACACTGCCCGCGGCCTGCAAGCAGGACCCTGCTCCGCGCACTGGGCACAGCAGTACTCCACACAGCGCCAGACATCAGCCAGCCGCTCCACCCCACACAGGAGATGACCAGTCCAGCTTCATTAGAACTTAAAGAAATGCTGTCATCCCTATGTATTATTTTTGAAACACTGAAACCACTTCTAACTTGGGATATGAGACAACAGCCAAATTGTGCAAATAATTTTGGAACCAACTGATGGGAAATCAGACCTTCCAAAGAAAATTATTTAGGATAATCAAAATCCTATATTTGCTATATTAGATGCTATATATCCTCTTATAAGGTAAAGAATAATCATCCATTTTTTCCTTTAAAAAGAGAAAACTTAAAAAAGAGAAAGAGAAAAAGAACCTTTGCAACTTTGTTAAATTGCATTTTGATCTACCAGAGTCCAGTTGGATCTTTCTCTACTCAGAAACCAAGACATACAAGGAAGGACCCACACACGTGAGAAGACATTAAAAACATCCCCACGACTACAACAGACCTGAGAAACTGGAATTTCAGAGCCACAGGGAGCTCTGAGGACAAAGCCGAATCCGTCGATGTCCAGATGAGGCCTCGAGGGCCCTAGATCAGTCTCAAGGCAAGGCTGAGATGGGAACAGGGATCTCCAGACTGCCAGCCCAGAGCCCAGACACTGAGAAGCGAGGGCACCTTGCTCTCTAGGACATCATCTCTTTGATTTGCTCTTGATTCGGGGAAATTATAGGTAATCACTGTTTCAGATCTACACATGACACCAGCATGAGGCAGGGGTGGTGACCAAATGCTTTCCTGTGGTTCCTCACTCCTTGGGTCAGGGGCTGCTTCTGTCATACTGAGATTCCACTTGGTACTTCTCATGATTATAGTCAAAGAACCCCAATCTACCTTGCAGTCAAAATTGTTACATCACTGTTAGCGTCTTGATTTCTGTACCTCTTTGGCTTTCTTGCTAGAGTCACAGTGCAGTATCTAGAATTATCAAAGCAACTCGCTATTTTTGTTGTTGTTGCAAATTCTTTGGACCTGCTGAAGAGTCTAAATGCAGAATAAACAACCCAGGAAATCTCATGATCAAAGTGGAATACACACATAAGCATTTTAAGTGCTGTTTTCCTGGAAACTTCTACACTTGGAGTAACTTACAGCAGAAGAAAATAGTTATGAAGCCACTTTCCCTGTCAATGAAATAATAAGGCTAACGATCACTTGAGGTCAAAATGTGCCACCCGGCCCCACCTGGGGGTGTGAAGCTGGGCCCTGCTCACAGCAGTGACGCAGCAAGTCACTGTGTAGGGTTGTTTACTGGGAGTTACTCCAGTACACCCCTTACAAGTTCAAAGCTTTTATATATTCAATCAATACTTTAAATTGAGACAATAAAATAAAATAAGAAGCTACAATGGGATCTCAAATAGGTACCATGTTTCCTGTTTTAATTGGCTTTTCAGGGGAAGGGAACATCCAGGGGGCCTGGCATCTGGGACAGCAGGGTGATGGGAGAGCAGTCTCACCCTACGTGAGGGCACTCGAGCTCCCGGACACCGGCCTGGAGGAGGCAGCACACCACCAGCCAGTCCTCCGCTGCTCTCTCCTGACTCAAGCTTCTGCTTTAAGGCCTGGGTGGGTTTTAGAAAATGCGTACCCTCCATGTGTACGCTCTTTCCCTCTTCTCCCTGAGAGACCCTCTGACTCCAGGAAATCTCATCGTGTCGTCCCAGCTACCTTGTCCCAGAGAAGCCAGTCCTGAGGCAAGAGAGGGCTCTGGCCGGATGCTGGAGCCACTGCTGTCCCCAGTGGAGCAGGCCAGGCTCCTGGGGATGCTTTGGCGGTGATGAGGATTTTTAGGCTGCTTAATTTTAAAACGGTTTATGACAAGGATTTTTAGGCTGGTTACTTTTAAAACTACAGATAAGAAGCAGACTCCGAGGAGCGGAATTTGCTTGCTCTTTGATCAGAGACAGTTGCATTTGTGAAGGAAATCTCCATGCCTCCCTTTCTGCGCCAGGAGGAAGGGGAGGTGGCCTTATCTCTGGAAACTCTTAATGGGGAAGGCAAGAACTTAAGTTGTTTACTGTCTGGCAACCTCATGTAACTGACCCCCCCACCCCAAAATCATCCTTTGTCTTTAGTTGAAGATAATATTTGAGCAGTGACTTCTGCCATTTACTCAATCCGGTTTGATTCTTATCTAAAAGTGGTGGGACCGCCCAATGGCCGGACCCTACCGGCACTGGTACCATTTTAACTTTTTTTCTTTGTCTCGTAAAGAGATGACTCACATACCTATGCCTTAAATTTAGCCCTAACTCTCAACTCGGGGCAGCAGCAGGAGCTCTGACTGCCCGTGGGTCCTGTCCCCACGCACCAGCTCTGCCTGCCCATGGGTCCTGTCCCCATGCCAGCAGGGGCAGCAGCAGCGGCTCTGCCTGCCCATGGGCCCTGTCCCCATGCCAGCAGGGGCAGCAGCAGTGGCTCTGCCTGCCCATGGGCCCTGTCCCCATGCCAGCGGGGGCAGCAGCAGTGGCTCTGCCTGCCCATGGGCCCTGTCCCCATGCCAGCGGGGGCAGCAGCAGCGGCTCTGCCTGCCCATGGGCCCTGTCCCCACGCCAGCGGGGGCAGCAGAAGCGGTAGCAGCAGAAGCTCTGACTGCCCATGGGTCCTGTCCCCATGCTATTCTATACTATTCTCTAAATAAAAGAGCACTACTGCCAGATCTTAAGAGTCTAAGAAATCTTTCTTTCGACTCCTCGGCTCAAAGACCCCGCATCAGCGGGATCACCGGAGTGAGGCAGGAGATGCCTGCACAGCATAGTCCAGGCAACCGAGAGGTGGCAGCATTCGGAGAGAGGCGGCGGGGGCGTCAACGGGCAGCTCTTCCAGGAAATGCTGAGTTTCCCAAAATGCTTACCATCACAAAGGAATAGCCAATCCAGAGCGAGGACCAGCCGCTGGGGCACTGCGGGATCTGAATGGTCTGGCTGTGCACGGCCATCACCATGGCTGGCGCCTCACACACTGCACACCTGGAAGGTACCAGAGCAAAGACACTCAGCACAGCTGAAGGGATGGCGCAGGACAAAGCCTTTATTTGTTCGTTCCTTTCCCCATCATTGGCACTCACTCTCTTCACTCGATCTTTCTGATTCAATTACATGTTGATCACATGGATAACGGCCCAGTGCTTGGACCCTGAGGGTGACAGCCTTCTTGTCGGTTTTACAAACCCATCTCAGTACTAAAATATTAAATTCAAAAACAGGTCCAACGCTTGTTATTTAACCACCTGTTTTGTTAGAAGAAGAAAATCGGAAGGCCCAGTTGTAACAGTGGCCATCTCCCAGAGGGGCTGGGGCTACAGGTGACTTTTGTTTTCTCCTTTGTGCATTTCAGCGTTTTCCAATTTTTCAACAATCAGCATGTATTTCAGCAAACACAGTTAATTCTTAAGAAAAAAGAGTTGGTGACCAAGTGCTACCACTTCCGGAATGTAGAAATTTGTTTTCAGCTATGAATCCTCTTCAATATAAGAAATACATTTAGTGAAGCAGAGTAACTAAGACAAATAATGCACGTGAGGCTGGATGGCCACAGAAGCCTCCTCCAGGAGACTCGTTCCCGACCCGGCGCCAGAAGACCAGGGACGGCCCTGGGCAGACGCTGTCAGCAGGGCCACTGCAGCTGGAGTAAGTCCCAAAGGACCCTCCCCAGGGTAGGACGCTTCCCAAGCCAGGCTGGCTCACACTCAGACGCTGGGAATGCACTCAAGAATAAATTAAAACAATGCAGTGTTCTGACTCAGACCTGCTCAGCTAAGGGAACCCTTTGATGGTGGGGTAATGTTTTGTAAAAAAAAAAAAAAAAAAAGAAACAAAACATTAAACCCCAGCAGTAAAATAATTACATTCAAGTCAGAAAATGAACAGAGTGTTAACAATGCTGATAAATGACTATAAATGGTGCTAATAATTACACCTAGTTAAGCTGGAACATTTGCATGAAAATGGATGAGGAATGGGAAGAGGGGCCGAAATTAGTCATTCGAGTTTCCGTGGACTTGTGTGTGTGTGTGTGTGTGTGTGGTGTGCAATTTTCTATTTTATTCACACAAATGCAGTTGAATTAAAAGACTCTGTTAAACAAGAGTTACTGAAATTGGCCTCACACATCTGCCACCATCTGTCTGCCAGACGCAGGAACAGAAACGCAGCACAGAGCAAAGCGCTTCATTCCAGGCTCTCTCTGGGCTGGGGGGGATTCAAGCGGCTGACGAGAAGGTGGTGCTGACCCCGTCAGATGGGGGATGAGGGACCCGGAGTCACAGATTTCAGGAGCAGTATGGTCCCTTAAAACTCATACAGTCTAATTCCCCATGTTATTTATGAAGAAACTGAGGCCATGCTTAGCTGTGTCAAAGCCAGATCCAGAACTCAGTTCTCCTTGCTCTCAGACCAGTGGTCTTTCCACTAGAATAATTAAACAATTAGTAGTTTTATGATGACTCTTGTCATCATAGAAAGCCAGAAAGTGCTTAGAAAACTTTGCCCTACTCTCAGGACAAAAGCAGAAAAGTTGCTACCTTTTCTGCTTTTTAAAATGAACAATTTGGGGTTATTAAGTCTTTCTAAAATTAAGCTTTAGAACCTCCCCAAAGGGAAGACCTCAGACGTAACCTGTCAGTCCTGAGAAGTCATCACAAGCCATTAAGTTAAAGTGACCTGGAAAGCCGTGTGCTCAGAGCCAGGAGAAACGGGCAGCATTATCACAGAAGGGAACGCGAGAAGAAGCCGCAGGCTTGACGGATGGGACTCCTAAGGTCCCTTCACGCTGAGTTTCTATGGGTCAGTCAACAGACAGATGTGAAAACCCAGAAATGTATACTACTGGGCCATTTAAACATCTCCTGCGTGCAGAACCAGGGGTGTCTGACTGAAGTAACGCGTCCACAGAGAAAAGCAAATCTAAGACACAAGGCTTCTGGGGACCCGTTCTGGGAATATGGCAAATGCATGCCAGAGGCTGCGTCCTCAACCAAATCAAGGCCAAGTGCCCATTTTATCAAGAAGGTAAACAGAAAACAAAAATGAATAACACATGGTCTACCTGTTGTCCAAGGAAAGCTAAACAAAAACACAAAGCTGGTTAGTCTTCCTTCCCCATCAGGCACAAAAATGTCAAAACAACAGTCGACAGGCACTCAGTGACACGTAAAGCACTGTCTGTTTTGAAAGGGGGCACTCTGGAAGTGCAATGAATGAGTTTTCCCATTTTAAGACCCGTAAAATAAGTCTTCTTATAACTCAAAATAAGAATCAAAGAAAGCCATCAGGAGATATTTGAGTGTAAGGCAATCAAAAACCTACAATTTTCCTATTTATCAGGCGTCTCTCAGACTTGCTGTTCCAGAGTTCTAGGTGGTACGGTTTTCTTAATAAGACTGTGATCTCCCGGGACCTGCCTTCCCACATGCCGGAGCCACAGACACCATAACCGGCCAGTCTTCCCCAAACTGGCAGCGATCATCAAGTGACTGATGGCCAACGACACTGCTGCACCCATGCAGGGGCTCCCGGCTGCTTATTTCTTTAAAGGGAATACAGAAAAGCTAAATTTTTTCTCACTCTCACTTTCCTGAGGCAAACCTGTCCTGCCTTGTTATTCTTTTCAGCTTTTATTATCGTAGTGTGTAAAAAGTAAAATTATAGAATAGCTTCTTAGTCACATGAATTCATACATTTGCCACGTTTCGGTGACTTCTGAGTGGAGCTAAGGAATCAACTTTTAATTAGAAGAAAGAGGTAAAGATAGGACTGCCATGTACTTTTCAGTCACAGTAACTTCAATTTTCCAACTTATTTCCTACCAGGCAGACTCTCGGGGACCTGAAAATATTCTGCAGACACTAATTATTGTGGAAAGCACTTAATTTGGGAAGTCGCTCAGTCAAACACATGCGTTCTCAATGGGTACAGTGTCACCAAGGAAGCAAAAGTTGGTGGGGGAATATGAGAAAAACCTTAATATGTACACATTTTCTGTATGCAGTAAATCTGTATAATCTTTTCATGGTGGAAGCACAGGCATAGAGTACGTCTGTGGTATTACAATTTCATGGGGACCACCTCACAGCCATATTTGAATCTCTCCATTAAGTGCCACTGAACTGTACATCCAAAAATGATTAAGATGGTAAATTTTCTATTATGTGTATTTTACTACTAAAAATAAAAACTTTAAAAAAAATTTTTTTAATTGGGGACATTTCAGAAAGCAAATGTCTTAAAAGGCTCCCTAGGGAGGTAATTATTTAAGGGAAAAAGGTTGAGAATGCTGGTTTAATGCTTGGGATCCAGCAACATTGCTTCGCTCATAGGAGGAAAGGCCACCACCACAGGGAGTCACCTGCAACACGAATTCTGTCCCGAAGCTGGGCGTTATCTCAGCATGGTTTTGCAGTGTAATTTTTAAAGAGGATAAATGACTTTTATATCAAATTAATTTTTGTGGCTGATTTCTGTTACAAAACTCAGATTTCACAATTAATAAACTGAATGGCAATGGATTGAATGTTTTGGGGAAATATGAAAAAAAGAAACCCTCTGTCTAGACTACAAGCAATTTTTCTTCTTCAGTTACACATTTGCTCCTACAAACGCTTGACGCACCTGCTAATAAATGGCCTAATATTGTCCCCAGTGATGGGCGCCATGGACATGGGCATGGGCTCAGGGGTGGACAGCCAGTAGGAGTAATCGTTCCGGGAGGCGAAGTTGCAGACGTTGTTGATGTTGCAGAAGAGGAAGGGCATGGTGCTGAACTTGCGCAGGCAGCTTCCAGCCGTGCCTAGAGGCACAGGAGAGAAGACAATGGGAGGGATCGCATTAGAATTCACAGTCCACCTCTATGCAAGACGGATTTGAGCTGCCTAATCACGAAAGACATATATCTGACATAGACATTAAAATGGAACTAAAAATGTTTTAAATTACAGGAAGAAGGAAGGAAATATACCAAATAGACTAGTACGATGGTAAATGAACATTAAATTTAAAGGGATTAAGGCAAAAGGGAAACTACGAAGAATTATGTAGGATATTTTGATTAAAGGAAACAAACCAGTTTATCAGTAAAGAGAAAGCTTTTTCTAGGACTGGATTCTAGAAGGAATTTAACTGGGGCTCCTTGTACAATGGACAAGAACACAGTGGACAATGTCTTTAATGATAGTTTTGCCCAAAACGCAGAGATCTCTTTATATAGCTGCTGTTATTTCCAGCCTCAATAAAAGTTAGAGGTCCCTGACATTAGGACATAGTCTGGTGGGGGATGTCTACAGGAGACTAAGAAAATGATGACAGATGTGCAGCCTTCTACTGATCAAACTAACGGGGGCAGAGCTTAGGATATGCAGAGAAATTTGGAGCAGGATAACATGGACATATTTTAAACAGAGCAACAGTAAAGCTGCCCTATTTTAAGAATTTCGGTGCAAACTGTTAAGTGTGTACTCCAGAAATCTTGCTCCTACTTGATAATTTGAAGGAAAGATGAAAAGTTTTATTAATTTAAAAACTTTCAAAGATTCAGCTTTTACATTTTCTTGGCTTCTCATCAGTAATATGGTAGTTCATTTGGTCAGGATGGAGTGACATACGGCCAAGCCCTCCTTTCATTAACTAGGTCTTCGTGGCACCCTGAACTGAACATAGACTGAGCACCGAACGCAGAAACCCACGTTAGATGAATACAGGCATGTCTAGCTGTCTCACCCAAGTCCTGCCCGTGGGCCCGCTCGTTGCCTTGCACGTAGAGCAGAGAGTACCCGTGGTAAAGGATTTTGGTCCCAGGAGGACACTGTGGATCATCTATTGTTTGACTGTGCCTGGTCACAAGGAAGCCGTGATCAACAGACGGGGTGCCCGGGGGCCCCATGGATCCTGGCAGTCCATCAGGGCCTGGCGGGCCCGGAAACCCTCTCGGACCTGGAAGACAGAAGAGAATTAGTTTCCCTAGTCACAAACAGGTTCCCCTGAAAGGTTTCAAGCAGGACTAACCACACACAACCACCCACCTCCCTCACAGTGTCTTTGCTTTTCCTTTTACAGACCAACTCGGGACGTTTTACAAGCACAGAGCTTGGCGCAAAGCAGATGCTCAAAAAATTGAATGCAGTGAATAAATGAAATATACGAAAAGGAACATATGAATAAATGGAGGAAATGATGTGATTCTGTGCATGTCTTTCATATAGCATTTGGGGGGCTCCCCTAAGGGAGGATTATTACAGAATTAATAAAACAACCTCCTTTTAAGGGCGCTTCCTGTCCACAGCCACCCAAAGCCGGAGCCTGGAAGTGGAGCAGTGAGGAAGCTCCCGGGCAGTGGGTCCTTCCATCCTTGGGTAACTCTGCCGCCCACAAAACTGTTCACAGACCTCCTGCTGGACTGGGCCCCATCCGTTAGCCGACGCCCTCAGTCCTCGGCATCTCATTAGGGGCGATCGGATTCCTGCTTTCTCAGGAAGCAGGCCAACTCTATCTCATGCTGGACAGCCGCCTTTTGGCCAACACTGGCTCTACTACCTACTTCCCTTGTCCACTGCTGAAACAGAATTTCTGTCGCTGCAGCTGGCTTCCCTCACAGGAAACCACACAGGACCACCACTACTGGCCTTCTTTCAACTACATCTGGAAACACTGTGCTGGGATCAACATCTCTCTCCACAGAAGACATGACAACCTTTAACTCTTCTGTAGGATCCTATTTCTTCTAAGAAACAGACTTCTTTGGAAGTCTTTCAAGGGACATTCTCCATTTCGTTTTGCAGGTTTCTGCATGCCTGAGCCTACTGCTGGGAACTCAAAGATGCAGGTAGAGGGTAATTAGGTTGGGAGCCCACAGCAAACCTACCAGGAGGTCCAAAGGGTCCTGTCTCTCCCTTCTGGCCAGGGGCACCGTCAAACCCGGGGATACCTGGTGGTCCAGGTAAGCCCACCAACCCCGTCACACCTAAAGGAAAGGAAAAAGAATTCACGATCCCATCCTGGATAGCAGCCAGCTGTACCTCTCCCGTCCCTTTCGAAACATCTTTTGGGACCCCTGGGAGGCAGGCTCAAGGCTTAGACTGCAGAGGAGAAGTCTGCCCAGAGAGCCATGAGCTGCTTCTGTGCGAAGCCTTGGACACCCTCTGCAGAGGCAACGGCCAAATTCCCATCCGCAGGCCGGGGGCTTCGTCGTCCAGTTCAGAGTTCTCCCGGCTTCTTGCTGTTATTGTTTGGCAGGTAGTTTTGGATAAGGCAGTCATGTGGGGGGTGGGGAGAGATCTGACAGATTTTTGTTTCCTCAATCATGTTCCCCTCAGCCATATTCTGGCATCTCAAATAATTTTCAGGCGACGGATATATGACATGGATAGTTTTTCTGTTTTCAGGTGTACAGTTTATTTATTTAAGTTTAAACTTAAATTTTCATGGATGCTACTTTTCGACTCTAAACGTTTTCATTCTCCTTTATTTTCCACCCACCCCTCCCCTACTGCTCTTGAAATTGGAAGTGTTTGGCCCAAAGCAGCAGCAGGATTCTAGACCCAGGCATCGCACAACTACAGGGATTCACACAGATCCCTGCCAGCTGGGTGGGGCTTCCGGGCGGCTGCCAAGGGCAACGACTCTCACAATTCTAGACCGCTGCTTCCTGCTATCCCTCGTCTCTAGCTAGGGAAAGACGAACTGGTTCCTGCAGCCCATGTCCTTCTAAGGGACACAGATACGTCGACCTGTCTGTTCCTCTAGCTTTCCTCGTATTCCATTCTGGCTTTTTCAGCTCCCTTCACAAACTGCATTTGGTTTTGATGCACATTAAAGAAAGGTAATAAAGTCATATTCAAATAAGTGTTTCTATAGTCATCACCCAGAGACTTTGCTCTCAGACACACGGTGAGGAGGAAATCCCACCCAGTTCCCTCTGGACCCCACACCTCCCTGCGCAGGCTGGTTATTCTTACCTTGCTGTCCCTTGGGGCCTGGAGGTCCCTGAAGCCCCTTCAGACCTGCGGGACCCTCTGGACCAGGGAGCCCTGGCTCCCCTTTGATGATGTCGTAAGGCCCTGGGGGGCCGGGGGGGCCCGGAAGACCTGTGGGAATCAGGGACGTCACCAATCAGTTTCACGTTCGACACAAACAGCCTCAAGAGGAGACTGCAATGTGAAACCCAATCCAAACGATGTTTCTTAAAAGTAAAATTATCATCAAAAACACAAGTAATCAGATCCTCACAAGACATCCATGTATCTGGACGTTTTTATTATTTAACCTAAAATCCTGAATCCTTGGGACTGGAACAGATATTGGGGTCAACAGAGCAAACTGTCCACTCAGTTCTGGAATCCCTGACAACGCTGTCCGGCCTCCCTTGAGCCCATTCTCTCCCAGGCAGCCTGCTTCCCACTCAGATGCTCCAACGCGCGATTGGGAAGCTTTCTCTGATGCTGACATGAAACCTGCCTTACTGTACACTAGAACCACTGGTCTTAATTTTTTCCTGATGAATACACCTAATCCTTCTTCTGCGTGACAGCTCTTGAGCTACGTGCAGCAACAACGTAGAGTTTGCAGAGGCTTCTGAGGTCCACCTCAGCCCCTCTCCTCAGCCAAACGTCCTCCGTTCTCTCCCTCCTTCACACATATTCTGTTTCTTTCCTTCCTCCTCAGTGCACTCCCATTGCTCTCTCTCTCTCAATATGGTGTTGAAAATTAAACATGGCCTTAGATGTATGAGATGAGAACGGGATGCAGGCTACACTTGAATCATTTCCTTCCAAGATTATCCTGTTTTTGAAGCCACTTTCTGCTGTTGGCTCCTGGTGGTGGAGAAGCCAAGGAAGACCGTGTCCGGTGGAGAACTCCTTACTGTCCAACCAGAATTCATTCAGCCTGTCCGTGCAAGACTGCTTTCATTCCAAGGCAACTCTAAGTGGGTGATTCCGGTCTACCCTTAGAGCCTGGGAGAGTGTGTGAATCTTGAGCCTGTCATGGTCTCTCTACCGGGTCTACCTGAGTCACAGATGTAACACACTTGCCTTTCAAGCCAAATTTCTGGTAAATATGTCAATTAAATTAGCCAAACATGGCAATCCTGACAAGCAACCAAAGAATTTTTAATCAGCTGTTTCTGATAACCTTCAAGTCTTTGCACAGATGTGAGACCAAACATCCTAATTCTACGTGTTCAATGGCTTTCATACTTCCTCAAATCATCCTAAGGCCCCGCCAAATTCTCCTACCTTTCGTTCCAGGGAAACCTTGGTCTCCTTGGTCTCCTTTAACTCCTTGAAGGCCAGGGAGACCTTTCTGACCTGGAGGAAAGCAGAACATTGATCTTACACAGCATTCCAAAAGATATGCAAGTATGTGTGTGTGTGTGTAAACACATATGTATATACACGCACACACGTGGATACATATACACGTGCATGTGCATGTATATACATGCACGTGCCCATCACACCTATACATGTGTACACTATATATACAAGAATTCACACACACACACACACATGCACGCATGCACAGTGAACATATTTCCAATTTATGCTCTTTCAAGAAAAGAGCATTACTTCTGGTCGACCATGTAAAGCTTTTCATGAAACTCTTCTTTCTAGAACCCAGAAGTTACATTTTTCCAAAGACACAAGAAACCATAAAGTGGTTACAACCAGTGGAGGGGAAAATGGTACTGCTTTTGGTCACATTCCAGTTCACACATGTCCCCAAATAGACCACAAGATGCCAAAAACCTGTTCTACTCACCTTTCATTCATATGTATCTGACTAAGCAGTGAAAATAGCAGTGCCTGGAAGCTGGCAGGCACTCAATAAATGTTTGCTTAATACATTAATAAACTAACAAATGGCCCCAATCTATGACTTCTTATTGATATGCAAATGACTGAGATGTAATGATCCACTGATTCTTAGTAAGGAAATCTGAACGTCTTGACACTGCCATCCACGGGGTTATACAAACCCGGCCGCCACGCCGCAACGGCATTTTTAATTTAGAGGGAACTCTGTCTTGGGCTGTAATGACGCCGGTTGTATCACTGTGACAGCGCCGTGGTTAGGAAGCTTTGTGTAGTAAGCGTGTCTTCGAGCAGCGTCTCCGTGACTCTCTCACCTTGAAATCCCGGAACGCCCGGAGGGCCCATGTCACCCTTAGAACCTGTGATTCCTGGAGAGCCACCAATCCCCTAGACACACAAAGAGGATGTCAGTCGAGAATTGCTCGGGAGATGACCGAGAAGCCTCTCAAGTAACCGGCTGTTGGGAAGCTGGGACAGCCCCTCGAGGTTCTGCAAAGTAGCTCTGTAAACAAACGGGGCCTTGTGGTTTCTTGAATGATGTAAAAAGAATGACAAAACCTCTGTGTGTGCCTAAATTAGGAAGCTGGAAATTGGAACAACTTGCTTCATTCACTGTGTCCCCTCGGCTTGTCCATCTACATGGTAAGTTCTGGAAGCAGGTACAAATCTTACCTCTGGCTGTCCCCACCCCACAGCACAATGCCATGAACAGAGTCAGAACTCCCTAACTATTTGTTATGGCAACAGATCAATCTATCAACACCGAACTACCCTTCCAGAGAACTCTCCTCTAAACACTCAAGGAGAGTGCTTTTCCCTTAGAATGAGCTTCGTATCTTATCTGAAAAGTGATCGTAAATATGGAAAGAAGACAGAAAACACTAACGAAGGATTATTTTCCTTTATAATATAGCAATATTCATGTATTTTAAAATATTATCTCATTTTCTAGCTATTTCAACATAGCTGTTCCTTCCTCTCTATAAAAAACATTGCATTGGTTCTTACATATATTTGTTTCTTTGCTTTACCTTATTTTAAAAAGTGCCATAACCAAAATATATATCTATATACATACACACACATTTATACATATGTATATATAGAGAGAGACAGATAGTCACTGACTGGCAGTAGGAATGGGGAGTATATTTCTATGTTACTAAGGCTTGCTTTTTGCATCAAGTTTGTAAACAGACTTTTAAACCCAGGCATTGAACTAAAATTTCTAGTAGTAGAACATTTCCGTTTAACGGTTCTCATAAAACTGATTATAAAAAATGCTATGAGAGTAGCCTACTCTGATGCCAGTAAAGATGGCTGATGACTCGCAAGAGAGAAGGGACTGGCCCAGAGAGGATGTGGGAGGGTAACACACACGTATGCATACATGTAAACACAGACACACAGCTTATTTTGTGATCCTTTTCAAAAACAGGACCTACAAACAGACAACTTACAGGCATGCCCTGGAACCCTGGGTCTCCCTTGGGCCCTGGGGCACCAGGCGCCCCCGGCCAGCCTGGGTTTCCTTTGTCACCTTTCAGTCCATCAAGCCCGGGGAGCCCCGGCGGCCCCATGGGTCCCGGAAGGCCTAAAAGGAGACACAGAAGTCACACATTTGAGGTTAGAGGGGATTTTATGTACAACGGCCATTGGCTGTGGTTGTCATCACTGCCACCCAACTGTCCCCAACTACACACACCACCACCCAGCTGCGTGAACCCTGAAGAAATCAAGGCAGGTTCTAGAAGGAAGAATCTGCTCAATGGGCAGAAAATGGTGATCTAAACACCCCAGTCGGAGCGTCCAAATGCCCTGTGGTCCCTGTGCTCAGGGGAGCTGTGCTGCAGTGCGGTCACCCTGGCCGCGGGGCAGAGGCCTGCCGGGAGGGCGTCTGGTTTAAAACACCACCACAGGTGGCATTTGTGCTCCAGGCTTTCTCAGTAGTGTCCTTTCTCGCCTCTGCCCAATTACTGTCATATTTACTAAATTCCTTGACAGAAAAGTCAGAAGAAAAACATTGACCTAATGGAGGCCAGATCCAAGAGGGTCAAGGTGTTAAGTAGTGTCCAGCTGTAACAAATGCTGCAAATTTCTAAATAAGAACTCAGTTGGGAATTTAAGTATTTACACTTCTTTTACACTTGTGCATGTTTGTGCCTTCTGTTGTGGCTCCAGCTCTGACTTGGGTTATGCCTCCTTACCTGGCAGGCCAGGTTGTCCCTGTGGGCCCCGGTCTCCTTTGGGCCCCTCCACAGCGTGGCCCGGAGCTCCAGGCAATCCTGGCTGTCCTTGTGGCCCCGGAGGTCCCAAGAACCCCGGCTCTCCTTTGGATCCAGGTATTCCTGGACTCCCAGCCAATCCTGGGAAACCCACGTCACCCTTTGAACCTAAACAATAAAAACAGTTTGAGATAATGACAAAGGCAGGGAAGAAGAGAAACCCCAGTGCACCAGTGCACTGACAAGGAGGGAGGGGCTTCTGGAAGGCACAACTGGAGATGGGTACCTTTTCTCCTTTTTATTAAATAACACACTGGACTCCTACCATGGCCGACCACGGCCATGAAGAAGAGTAAGCTTAGATACAAAGAACCTGGCTCTCACTCTTTATGCTTTTTAAAGGAAGTTTTCTATGGCAAAGACATTTGAATACATGCATAGATAAGCCTGCAAGCAGTTGCACTGATAAAATTAAGGGCTTCTTCCACCAAGAGGTGGATGAATAAACAAATTATGTTATATCCGCACTATGGAACACTACTTAGCAAGAAAAAGGGACCAACGACTGATACCAGCAACAATACAGATGAATCTGAAACTAATTATGCTATGCGAAATAAGTCAGAGTAAAAAGCGTACATGCTGTAGGGTTTCATTTATACAAAATTCTAGAAAATGCAAGCTAATCTATTATGTCAGAAAGCAGATGGTTGCTTAGGGAGGGGGGTGGGGGGCAGCAAGGGGCAGAAGTGGGGATGACCAAGCAGCCTAGGAAACTTTTGGGGTGATAGACGTGTTCGCTATCTTGAATGTGGTGTTATTTTCACAGGTACGTGCATAGATCAAGACTTATCAAATCATACACTTGAAATACGTGCAGTTTATTGTATGTCAATGATAGATGAAAAAAAACTTTTTAGAAGTTTTTTAAAAGTAAGAGCTTTTAGGAAAAAGAAAATCACATGCTTAGTTTTAAACATATTACCCAAAACTTGCCAATAAAACACCAAAATTCTAGGATTTTTTCAAGGTTATTAAGAAAAAATAAAAAAGGAAAGAAAGAGGGTCATCACCAAGAAGGATGGCAGGGTCCCTCCCTGGCATTCTCCCCCTGCTGTTCCACAGGGCAAGGAATCCAAGACACAAGGTGCCATAGGGTGGCTTGTCACGGGCCAGTAGGACGTGTCAGTTAGATTGTCCTAGACCCAGCATCCAGCACCCACGTCCGACTGCTTCCCTGCAATCATTTGCTCTGGTCTGCTGGCACTGTGTGCATCAGTGGTTAGTTGAAAAGGAAGAATGTGTTCAGCAAATGTTACCTTTCTCTCCTTTGGTCCCTGGAAACCCTGGGAATCCTCTTCCGGGTAGACCTGTAAGACCAAGGTAAGAAGCCATGTTTCTCTCTCCTCAAACAGGCAATCTGCAGGCACAAGCGCAGTATCAACTCTGCGCCAATGCCACACAGCGCTTGCAGAACACACAGGAATCAGTAATTGCACCTTGCAAGTAAAATTACATTCCTTCAGTTGTTCTAAGATACTACTGACTGGGTATATAGAATTTAGTACTTTTTCCTAAGTACCTTTCAGCTCAGAACCATTACAGTATTTAGCAGAAATGATCTGCACAAATGACTACTCATTTCCTACCACTGTCTGGAGACTCACAAAATGGCTTTTCTCAGACGACCATCCAACTAACAGCTCTTCTAAGGGAGGTGCGGAGAGCCAGAGACACCGGGGGCAGCAGACACCAGGGAGCCCACAGACACGAGTAAAGGGCGTGAGGGAAGATTCACACGGGGGAAGGAGATATATATATGTGATATAATATATGACATAAACATAAGGTGCATAGAACAAGAAAATGAACTGTAGAGAGAGGCCAACACCAATAGCGATAACCCCCTGGACGCTGCTCCCCAGCGATATCCCCTCCACTCCCCTGACTTGGGGCAGCCTGTTTCAGATGTGCATGCGTCTTGCTACATATGAGTATTAGTCCACATGTGGCTGTCACTGTCGAAGCTTGAAGCTGGCGCTTCTGCCCAAGTTGCGACCCCCCATCAGTGACAGGAGCAGACTCAGGGGCAGCAAATATTCCCAGGACCATTTCTCCAAGGGGAAAGGCCAGGCAGAGAAGGAGTGGTCTGGGCTTTTTGTGTGTGGCTACTTCACTCACCACCGAGAGCTCAGGCCATTTCAGGGGAGGTGCCCATAGGGATCTGTGGAATAAACGAAGACCCCCCACCCTTTCCTCATCCGAGCCTGCTCCCCTTATCCACGTGGGTGTTTAAACAGCCGTACAAACGTATGGTGTCGATGCCACTTTGTACCCAGCTCTGGTCGCTTAGCACGGCCTGTACGTCTGTGGGAAATGCTCACTCTGAAAGGGATGGGAGCCGGACCTACCTGGTTCACCCTTCTCTCCTGCTGACCCCGGGATTCCATCACTGCCAGGCTCCCCTTTCTGGCCGGCTGGGCCCGAGGGGCCAGGCTTCCCAGGAAGACCTCAGAGAGAAAGGTCACATCGGTCAGTCACGGAAGCTCCCGCAGCACCTGGTCTGCGTGTAACATGCTCCCTTCCCGACATTCTCCCTGGGAACCATCCTCCCTGAGCACGGCCCTTCAGAAGGGACCGTCCACGCTGCTGGCAACACCACTGCGCCCCAACCCCTAAAAGCCGGTGCGAGCAGAGAGAAAGTACATCAAACTCCCACGCCAAACACACAAACCTATTTCTAGAACCAACTGGAACCAGCTGCAAAACCAGTTCAGAGACTTTGGTTCTAGTTCCTAACTGGTGGCCAGACCTCAGAAAGACCCCGTAAGCCCCCCTCAGCTCAGTCTGTTCATCTGAAGAGTGGAGGGGCGGGCCCACTGGCCTCTGGTCCTCCAGAGACCACCCAGTGACATCGGGGCCCACAACTCGCCGTCTGTGAGGGGAGCTCCCTGGAAGCCTTGATGTACCCTTGGCCTCCTCCCCCCACGCCCCCCGGCTGTGCTCTAAAAAGTGGTCTCTACCTGCTTCTCCTTTGATACCAGGGATGCCGTCCAACCCTGGGAGGCCTTTATCACCTTTTTCTCCAGGCAACCCAGGGCTTCCTAAAGAAAAGACAAGATACCGGAACGCCCATCAGTTTGAGGTTTTCTTCATTATCTTTGAACCCCAAGCTGAGGCGGTGGCCCCGCGCACCTACCTGGATAGCCCACGCTCCCCGGCAGGCCTTTGGGGCCTGGGGAGCCGGGCATGCCCGGGATCCCAGCACTTCCCTTCTCGCCCTTCTCTCCAGGAGTTCCCGGAAAGCCTGCCAGCCCTTGGTCTCCCTGGGAGTAAAAATTGGGCTCATTATAATGTGATATCTGGACAACAGCACACACTTTGGTACAATGAATACTGCATTGCAGAAATTCCATTTCCAGCTTCCTAACCAAAGAATCAAAGTCCACTTTTGAAAAAAGAGGGAAAACTAGAAACCCAGAGCAAAAGAGCCCACTGTTGTTTCACTTCCCACGTCCCTCTTGCCTTCCCTCTCTCCCCGTGGCAGCTGCTCCCCGGGCCTCTCAACCAGTGTCGATTCTTCCCGGGGAAGGTAGCGAGGAGAAGGGGGAGGAGGGAAACTTATGACAAACTGGGGGCACTGTTCTAGGTTCTGATTCATCTCATGGGCTGAGACACTCATTACATTTCTCACGAAGCATTTCTGCTTGGATGGATGGGAGGGGAGGACCCAGGCAGGATGTTGTTACCTTGTCCCCGGGCCGTCCCGGAATCCCAATGCCAGGGAGACCCGCCTGCCCTTTCTCTCCTTTGGCTCCTTTCTCTCCAGGTAAGCCAGGGACGCCCTGCGGGCCGGGGATTCCAGGCACACCCTTCTCTCCAGGGGTTCCTGGAAACACAAACAACTGAACTTGGAATGCATGATTAGCAGGTGCTAACGTTAAAAATAAAGAAGCGCCCTGACGATCAGTCCAGAATGGCGTGAGAGAACATGGATTCACGCATTTTTCAAGGTGGGAGTCAGCCAGGCTAGTGCCCGTCACAGAAGCACAACAGAGCCACGCTGGGAAACGTCGCTCCCGTCTTCTGAAGACAGTCACCTCACAAAGACAGACGAGAGACACATCAACCACTTAGGAAAATACACCGACTTTCGCAACAGTATAAAAAATGGCTTATATGGCCTTTATTCTAAAATCAGCTCTCACTATCGAAGGGAATCAGAGGGGCTGGAGGCAGGCCACGAGGGTACGTGTGCACCTGGTTTCCTAATGTAGGTGCGCAGCCAACCCTACTTATACACAGGTGTAAACAGCAGCCTAAGGTGTTTCTTTCTCAAAACAAGTGGTAATGTGCCTCGTTAAGACTTAGGGAGGAGTCAGAGGGGAGGCCTCTGGCCTGACTTTTGCTTCCCTAGGGAATTGTGAGAAGCAGTAACACCCACAGCATCCAGAGCTCTCTGCCTTCTCTCCCGTGCCTCCCTCTGGCTGCCATCCCTGGAGCAAACGCCGGCGGCAAACGGTTGAGGCCGGTTCAGGATTGGGGCCGAGGAGCCCAGATGGTCCTTCTGAGCTAATTGTAAGGGGCCTTAGAGGCAGGAGCATCCTGTGCTGGCAAAACTGAATGGAGAACTAAACATCTCCTGGGGAGATAAGAGCCAAGTGGACGATCACTTGGAGAGAGTCAAAAGGTGACGGTGTGCAGCCCAGGTTTTATTTCATCAAATTGTGAGGGTTTTTTTTAGCACTGGTCACGGTGTCGGCCAGATGCCATCCAGCCCCAGGCAGGACAGCACACAGGATTGAAGACGTGGATTCATGCGAAAGACACAACGGATCTCATTCCGCAGAGCCACCCCACCAGCACCGCAGGTGCAGGTGCTAGAAAGAAGACCCCCTGTTCTAAACCCAACATACCTGGCAGGCCCATTCCACCGACCGATCCTTTGGGGCCGGGAAGGCCCGGAGCACCCGGGGTTCCACCTACACCTGGATCACCTTTAGGTCCTAGAATGAAGAGAAAAACTCAACAGGTTACCACCCGTGAAAAGTTCCAGGTAACACTCCTCAGCATGAGCGCCTGTTGTGGAGGCGAACTGAACTCCACTCCGTACCTGGCTGCCCAGGGTGTCCTGCTTGGCCGTCCTTTCCAGGAACTCCTGGGGTTCCAGGATCTCCCCGGGATCCTTTATCACCAGTTGGTCCAATTTGTCCTACACATCACAGAAAAAATAATGATGACCCATGTCTGGTTAAAATAAAGCAAACTGTTGCAAAAAAATTGATATTATTTGTGGAGAACTGAATAACTGGCGAGGCACGTCGTTCTATCTCCGTTGTTAAAGACTTCCTCCAGGTTACCTTTTTCTCCTTGGTCTCCCTTCTCTCCCTTCATGCTGCCCATGTCCACTTTATCCATGGACCCAGGCTTGCCAGGGAGGCCGACATCTCCTTTATCGCCCTTGAAGCCAGGGTCTCCCCTGGGTCCCGAGGAGCCTGGGAAGCCGTGGTCCCCTGCAGAGGAAAAAGAAGGCACTGGTGAGATGTGGCCAAGGGTCTCAAAGGCCGTGACGAAACACGGTGCTGTTTCTAGCTCGTAGAAGCAACTGGTAAATGTGTCGAGAACTAACAGACTGTCCAAAAATGGATTAAACGGAGAGTGTCTGAGTTACCCAGAAGAGTCTGACCCCAGGTCAAGGAACTGTTTAATAAAGTCATTTTCTAGAATTCACGACTTGCTAATAATTCTAATATATGTGACTTAGCTTATTAGTTTAAATAATTTATATTTTCTCTCCTTCCTAAATATCTTTATCACTTCTCTTCATAGTGCCCCTCAATTCTATGCAAAATAACAGGATGGGACTTTTCCTGTTCTACTAAACAAAGGACCATTTATTACGTCTCACATTCAAAGTCAATTTTTTTTATAAAAAAAAAATTTTGGACCAGTTTCAAATGACAAGATAAGGAATAACAATTAAGATTTGTAAAGGTGCCCAGTTTCCTCCTTTGATTCTAAGGACTCAGTCCCTGTGCCTTTGTATGACTGAAGATTCCACCGTTGAAAGAAAAGAATCTCAACTGTGCCAATAAGGAAAACCTGAAAACCTGTCTCCTCTGCTTTGTTGGCCGAGCACAGTCTTTAAGTCCACAGGCCCTGTGCGCCATGAGCTCCTCCTGGAAGAAGGACTCTTGCTTGATCTCCTTAACTCCTTTCCTCTGCCTCTTGAAATATGACCTACAACCATCGGAGAATTTCCAAGGAGGAATTGAGATGTGAACACAAGAAGGACTTTTCCGGAGTTACCAGCTCCCTACCTTTTTCACCCGGCAATCCTGGCACGCCTGCTGGTCCTGGTGAGCCGGGCTGCCCCGGGGTCCCCATGACGCCCATCTCTCCCTTGGGACCTGTGGCCAGATGGAAGGACCATGAACATTGATGGCAGATGCTAAGGGTCATGAACAAGACAACGCAGGGCGACCCCTGATTGTCGATCCGGGGCAGGGGTTCACGAATCATTACCTGGAAACCCGGGAAGCCCGGGCGTCCCCTGCTGTCCGGGAAGACCAGGCAGCCCCGACTGCCCAGTGAGGCCGGGCAGACCCTGAGTCCCTTTGTCGCCTTTGGGGCCCGGCATGTCCAGGCCTGGGAATCCAGGGAAACCCTTCTCTCCTTTCACTCCGGGAGGGCCTGATGGTGGGCAAAGAACAAAGAACTGTTAGTAGAACATGCAGGGCGCTGTGCAGGGCCCCTCATTGCGCTCAACTGTGACTCTGCACAGAAGGTCTGTGAGCGTGCCCACGTTGGGGGCTGGGGTGGCTTCTGCCTTCTCGGATCGTGGCATCTGGGGCCACCCAGGCAGTCACCGGTAGACAATGTCCCAAGACAAAGCCCCTCCTTTCTGCCATCAGTGGCCAGCAATTACCACTCTAAGTGCCACTCTCCGACGTCCTCGGGCCTAAGACTAGCTTCTCTGCAACTGTGTGTCACGGACTGTCTGGCCCTGCTCCACCATCCCACCCTCGTTCTAGGATTCTTCTTAAAGGGAAAGGGAGCTTCCAGACATGGACTTGGTTAGCTTTAAGTTACCCACAGCTTATTAACCCTCCTATGGAAAGGTAAGATAGAGACACCAATCATTGTGAATTAAATGAACCAGTTATTGCATATACAATAAAGGGGGGCTGTCTCTCTGGCAAGTAAAGCAAGCTCAGCGGGAGAAAAAGAAAGACACCTGCGACTCTATGTTTAAGCAAACAGTAGAACCTATTTCCCCAAAACAGAATTTACTTTTTCCCCTTTAATTCACAGATGCTAATCTCCCCGTCATGGAGACACCAGCATCAGCTCCGATCTCATCACGAGTGCGATTTAGAGAAGGGATAATTCTGGAAGAATGCGGCATCACCTGATGACCCTGGTGGTCCTTGTCCTCCAGGGGGACCCATCACTCCGGGGGGACCTATTCCGGGAACTCCTGGAGCTCCTTTGGGACCTTGTAATCCAGGAGGTCCTGGGTCACCTGGATGGGGAGGAAACCGTGAATAAACCACACAGGGACCACAGCATGCTTCACAGCGTACACTGCCCACTCACACAGTAAGCCACAACAACCGAAAACCCTAAGCTCTAGCCTTCTAGGATTTTCCTCATTCATTCAACAAGCTTTAACTGAGAACCTAACAAGTGCTCTGGGAACACAAAATAAACAGACCTAGTTCATGCCACAGTCTAGATTCAGCCGTAAGAAGTTACCTCTGATTCCCTGAAGGCCTGGGGGGCCGATAGCTCCATGCTCTCCGGGAATGCCTGGTCCCCCGATGCTTCCCTTCTCCCCAGGAGTGCCAGGAATGCCGGGAATACCTGGCGATCCTTTGAGTCCTGGCAGACCTATACCAGGCTCTCCCTGGAAGTCCGCAAAGCACAGAGAAGCCATGTTTTTAATCAAGCCGAGAGCACAAGTGCAGACTGTAACTGATAACTGCCGACACATTTAATAACAATAAAATCCATCCAACCCTCCAGTTTGCAAAGCTTCCTCACGCCTATTATTACCGCTCAGTCTCACTACAAGCTGCAACGTAGGGGATTTTTATTATTTTCACTTTACAAAGGAGGAAAATCAAGACTCCCCCTCGTTGAACAGCTCGTGCACAGTCACAGAGGCAGGATGTCCCCGGGTCTCCCGGCCCCTCGGCTCTGCGGCCCCCGGTCTGGGAAGAGCTGACTCTAAATAATGGACAAAACGCCACATGCGACTTGTGACCAGCTAACATGCCTTCTTAAGAGGTGGAAAGTTCCAGGACTGGAACAGGACACCATTTGTTTGGTTTTTTGTTTAAATGAAGGCTTTCGTGTCAAATTAAACATTTAAAACTGTTTCATGATCAAAGGGCTTTGACAAACACAGATGACTAGAAGTAAAAGAAGCATTTTGAGGGCCTGAGGGTACATTCAAAACAGCCCCAGTTGAGGCACGGCTGTGGGCCGTGGGGAGCAACAGGCGGACGTTAGGTCACCCGACCCCCTGGGAGGGAACAGGCCAACCCGGTTCTGTCCTTGGCAAGGCGTATCTATTGCCCTTGGCCCCTTCTTCCATTTAGGACCCACACCCTCTGGCAATTTCCCTTCCCTTCTTTATACTAAGGAGAGGATCTAACCAACGCTCACCTACACTTGCTGAGTGAAATTTCAAGTATTAGCAAGTGGCAGGGGAATATGTGAGGGCAAGGTGGGTCCTGCAGTCACACTAGCCCAGGGGTCCCCAACCAGAGCCATTTTGCCCCCTGGGGTGACATTTGGTAATGTCCACGGATATTTCTGGTTGTCACAACTGGTGGTGGGTATAGGGGGCTCCTCTGGTATCTGTGGATAGAGGCCAAAGATCCAACAATGTTTGGGGCAGCCCTCACCACAAAGCATTCCTCAACCAGAATGTCAATGATGCTGAGGCTGAGAAACCTACACGGGACCCTTCCGGGTGGCTATGACATATTTTAGTACAGTGACTTTCAAATGGCTTTCTTTTGCCACCACAAGAAGACACACATTGTATACTGAGATCCAGTACACAGAGGCAAGAGCATCCTCATAAAGCTGGAACAAATGATTCTCCCCAAAACATTCACCACCATGTGCTACAAACTCTGGTATTTTCTATTCTACGCTATTTCATCAAAAAAAAAACTATGCTCGTCCAGCAAATCCTGTGAGATTAATAACCCACATTTTATGTGTCCAATTAATAACAAGGATGGGCAACAGCAATCCAGAGAACGCTCAGCGCCCACCTTTTGGCCTGGCACACCTGGAGAGCCAGGTAGGCCACTAAATCCTTGGCGACCCGGATTCCCAGGAGGTCCCACATCTCCAGGTAAGCCATCAACACCTGTTTTGAAGAACAAAAAAAATCATTAACATAACGATGCTATTCCCCACTTTCTTCACTTCTTTTGTACTTGCCCAAATGGACTGAACTGATCTGAGAGGGCCGTAGCACGGAAGCCCTATCGAGGCGGGTCTAAGAGGCAGCGTGAGACCAACCTGGTGTGGAGGTGCCACCAGGGCCAGCGGGGCAGCTCGGGCAGCACCCGCAGTGCCTGCAGCCCCTTCTTCTTTCTCCCTCCACCTGTCCCCCTCCCTTCCTCTTCTTCTACTCCCTTTGACCTCTTCTGTCCTGCCCCACTCCCCCGAAACAAAACAAACACGCACACCTTGGCGTTTGCAGACTAACAATGGCCCTTTGACTCTTGCTATGCAAGTGCGGCCGTGTGGGGAGCATCACCGTCACCTGGTCAGAAACCCAGCCCAGATCTATGGAGGCAGATCCCCCTTTATCAAGACCCCTCGTGGTTCGTGGACACAGTAAAGTTTGAGAAGCGCTGCGTTAGACCACTGGTTCTCAAACGTGGCTGCTCCACATTGGAGGCAGGTGGGGACATTTAAGGACTGGCAGGGTCCCAACCTCAGAGGCTCTGATGGGCTTTCTGACAGCTGGCCACGTGACAGCAAAGTCTGAGAGCCGTTGGTTTTCAACCTTCCGTGGGCTGCAGAGGTCCATGCCCATGGTAATTTTTAAGTTTACAGAAGCATAAAGCTAAATCGCACATGCTGTGGGGCTTCTGCGGCCAGGGGCCCGACAGGGCGGACCTGATGGCCCACCAGTGCCCACATCTCCAAGCAGGTTCCTGCAATGTGGGCAAAGGACCTCTAACTAAGGAGACCTTTGTCAGCTAAATTCTACCCGTCACGATGGCAACGGTCCGGTTCTCACAGGGACTACAGTGCTTCATGAACACGCAGAAGGCCGTAGCATCGTTCCCCGTGAGCCTGGAGGGGCACCCAGGGCATGCTGCCCTTTAAGACAGAAATGGCCACGTGCAAGGGTAGGTATTATGTGGCTCCTGGTGGAAACAGCCTGCTGTCTCCTGTCCCCGACACGTGAAGGCCTGTAACCGTGAGAGGAGCGTGACACGGGGCCTCCAAACAAGCGGTCAGGAGACTGGAGAAGTCTTTAGCTAAGTTTGGCCAGAAGGCCAGTAAAACTGGGGTCAGGATGCTGGCCCAAATGGGAGAGACACGCCCCTTGTGGCTCTCAGTGCCTTCTCAGTCCTGGACCGAGGTCCATATGGCAAGTCTACACATTAAGCTCTACCTGAAGGACTGGTAAACCTAAAAAAAGCTACAAAAAGGGTGAAATTCCTCCTGACCTTACAACTTTCAGAAAGAAGTACTGGTTCTAAAACATCAGCACCCAATGGGGATTCCAGCCCCGTAGTGTGGGGGCTTCTTCCCCCAAGAGCAGAGCCCCTCTTCCTATTCCCCTGTAGCTACCCTCTGACTTGCAAATCCAGCATGGCGTAGGTCCCGGTGGGCTCTATGAGAGGGAGCCCATTCAAGGGAGGGTCTTAAGCAAATGCAGCATCTGCCAGCTCCCTGGGCAGCTTCTGGGTCCTCATGTCCCAACTCCTTCCCACCCAAACCACTCTACAGGGAGGCGCCATTTCTCCTGTCGCCTTGGGGACTGAAATTGCTGTCCCCCACTGTGCAGATTCTGGGGCCCCCACTAATTGCACGGTCACTAAGTCATAGAGCATGGTTACGTCCATTGCCTCTTTTTCTCACAATTGACATGAGGATGAATGAAGAGACCACGACCTTTGCTGCTGACCAGCCAGGCCGGCCAGAGCAACGGCCCCACTCATGTTTGGGCTCATCTTGCCAGTTTACCTTTGGGGCCAGGAGGGCCTGGAAACCCAATCCCGGGCTGGCCAACAGCACCCTTCTCTCCTGGGAGGCCCGGCCTTCCTGGGGTTCCAGGAAAACCTCGGTCACCTGTTGTAAGAAAGACCAGTGGTCAATATAAGAAAAACATGAGCATGTTCCCATTATATCTCCAGGTGAACTAGAACCTTCAACGTACCTTGGGGGCCTTGGAAACCTGGGGACCCCGGAAGTCCTTCTGCTCCAGGAGGACCAGGTAAGGGCACGACTTTTCCTGCTTCACCCTTGGGACCTGGGAAAAGAGCAAGGACATCGTGTGTGAGCCACCGCATCAGGTCCTCTGAGTCCACGTTGTACACCTGGAGAGAAGCCTCTGTCTGCAGGCTTCCATTTCTTCCCTCTACTTTTCCAGAATCTTCCACAGAGTGATCCTCCTCTCCCCAAAATTTATCTCCAAAACAACCTAGATGTTTGTTTAACACAAGAATTCCTGAAGAGTCCAAAATAAAAGTCACAAAAAGCTGAAAAATCTATAATAACAAAATGGGAGATAGCCCTAGGTAATTTCTTAATTAGCCTATCTCAAAAAGTTAAAACACTTGTACTGTTCTCTCTCAATTTCTCAGATAGTACTAATTCTGAGTTGCTTTGAGGCCAACCTAAATTATTTTCATCAATGGTAAATTATCTTCAGGGTATGCTAAGTGCATGACTGTGCATTATCCCTAACGGTGGGGCTGGGTAGTTTGGTGGCATCTGGAGCAGCACAGAAAAACCACCACTTGTCTCTGCCCCAGGAGGTGCAGGCCCAGCTCCCTGGTGTTCATGCCTACGAGATCCACTGGGTGTCAGGAGTTAGCTGTTAAGAAAGCACCAAAGGGCTCACTCCAAGAATGTGTGCACTGACTCTTCACATATCTTAAAAGGTTTCAAGTTGCGCAGGGCCTCCCAACGACAGTCAACACACTCTTTAGCGATAGACTGTGGGAAAAACCAAGCAACTGACCCCAGCACATATTTGCTATTAGTTCCACCTCTGAGAATGAGGCTTTTATGATCACCAGAGTAAACACAGCTCTGGCATATCAAAGAAGGTTGGGTTTCTAATCCAAAAGCCAATTGGGTCTGGTTGGCCAAGGAACTCTACGGAATGTGGATCAACAGTGCTGTCAACACCCTCTTCAGGAACCTTCTTCTCTGTCCTGCCAGGATGTATCTGTATGTGCCCCAACTGGCCAAGAAGAAAATCTGATTCCTTTTCATAGCCTTACAAATTTTCAGATTCCACAAACACAAAGAACGCTTGTTATGTTGATTTTGGAATCAGGAGCTATGGGGCAAGTGATCAGAGGTCCCTTTTCCAAGACTGGGGGTCTTTCTAAGTCCAACCCCAGTATTTCCCTGTCTCCAAAGGAGCCATAAAAGAGACATTTCTGGGATCCCTGCTAAGCAAAGAAGAATTATCAATGGGGTCATAACTTGGTGCTAAGTAACCAATAATTATACAAACGATGAGAATGACATTAACAGTTACATTAGGATGCTATTCTTGGACTTCCATCAAAGACTGGCTAACATTTCCTCTTTAAAGTGCTTATGAACTTTACACTATGTCTTGATAAAGAAATAATAGTGCCCAATGGGTACAGGGACTGATAAAACTCAAGCTAGATACATGGCAAGTGACAGAATCGGTAACTTAGTGAGTAAGAAGGTCACAGCGTAATTACTCTACATAGTTCCTGTTGGATATTTTGATTGTCCAGCTACTTAGTGATTACATTTTTCAAGGTTTACTAGTCACACAGTTTTAATCACCCAAAGTCCTTTCATCATTTTTACAACTTTTAAAACATTTCTTAGTAAAGAACCCTTCCTTTCCTCCTCTACGCCCAAGCCATTCTTAGCCTCCAGTCTTCTCATTCCAGTATTTTCTAGAGAGCAATATGAGGGTTCATTTCTACCCTGAGTCATGTTCAATTAAGAAATTATTGAGAGCCTACTGTGTGTAAGGCCTGGGGCTACCCCTTTTTCACTCTTGTCCTTGATAATAAGCAAGCTGTGAGGATGCAGCAGAGAATGTCCGTGAGAAGCCTCATGCAGTCCTTTCTCCACGTTCTCTGCCAAACCCTGGACAGTCAGTGAGCTCCAGGAGGGCAGGGCGCCTGTCTTGTTTATCATCCTCTGGTCACCACTAAGCACAGCAGTCCCAATAGAATCACATAAAATCACGGAATCACATAAAAAAAGTCAGCAAATGATTGAAACCAACATGGAATTAAATAGCAATAATGAAGTTGAAACTGATATAGAATTAGTCAATTGTTGTTACATGCCATCAAGTCAACTTCAATTCCTGGCAACTCTATGAATGAGTGACGTCCACAATATCCTGTCCTCAGCAGCCCCACTCAGCTCCTGTAGACTCAGGCCTATGGCCTCCTTTATGGAGCCAATCCATCTCATTCTTGGTCTTCCTCTTTTCCTGCTGCCTTCTACCCTTTCCAAAGAATCCTTTCCAAAGGATCCTGCCTTCTCATGATGTGCCCAAAGGAATTAATCAACAGGCATGGGCATATCAGGGGAGAGGTGGAGACCACATTGCTGAGGATATACAGAAGCCAAAATGGCCTGCACATCGGAGAAACACAGAAAATATGCAGGCGAAGAGGGAAAAAAGGGCTCATGTTGGTAGCACTTCCAGACGAAAGGCTGAATTTAGCTGCCATATACTATATACTTATTATAAGGAAAATCATCTGTAAACTCAAACTCTTTTCGGCCAGATCCTACACAATACCCAGCCCATCTCGTATATAAACAAACGGAGGTACAGAGAGGCCAAAGAAGGACCTGCCCAGGTCATGCCCCTCTGCCTGGAAGAACTGGAACCACACCCATGTCCCCACATCGCTGAGCCCAGGCTCTCGTGCACCTGGGGTCCTCAGGCCTCACCTGGCAGGCCGGGGGATCCAGGGCTTCCCGGAAAGCCCGCTTGTCCTTTGTCACCAATGGGGCCAATAGGGCCAAACCCTGGGGGCCCAGGAGGGCCAATGTCACCACGACTGCCGGGAAATCCAACGCCTCCAGGGGGGCCACGTTCTCCTTTTAATCCTACTGAACCCTGAAGCGAAAAGAGAAAAGGAAATGTTATCAGCAGACATACCAACACTCCCGTCCATGTCACATTTTTCCACCATCTGTAGTAAATAAGTACCAGAGTTTAATGGCTGATGCTATTTATTTACCTCAACCCTTCCACAAAGGTCAACCTCTAGTTAATAAATGAAACCAGCATTCTCTTCCATAATCTGAGCAATCGCCCTCCCTCCCTCACCCTGCATACAGAGACACTTCAAAGAGTAAGGTATTTATGTCTGGAATCTTCTTTTAAACGATGACCTGAATGCCACTAACTTTAAATTTCACCTCCCAGTGGACATCTGGAAGTCTTTTCAGTTCCCCCAGAAGACACTGATCTGTTATCATCTAATTATTCAAATCAACACCATCAACACCAATATTTATAGACTTAAGTTTTCTTATGAACCATGAAACATGTTCATTTATGACAATCACCATTCAAGTGAAAATACATTAATAATATATATTATTCATGTCTTCATTCTTCACACATCCATTCATAAAGAGCACGTTCAAACTCTGGAAAAACACATACCGGAGAGCCTTTGGGGCCGGGCAGACCTGGATGGCCATCTCTTCCGGGAGATCCTGCTCTGCCTGGCATACCGGGTTGTCCTGGAAAACCTGGGTCTCCTTTGTCACCTTTGAGTCGAATGTCAAAGTAAATCTCACCAGGCTCTCCCTTGGCTCCTGGCTGGCCCATCAGCCCGGGTGCACCTTGTGGGCCCTACAAGAACAAAGCCTTATGACACCACTGAAGACATCCATCCACAGAAGGAACCAGCATGACTGGTTATACAGTCAACAACAAAATCAAAACAGCCACCTCCCTGAAAACTGGTAATGTGTTTCGATCTCCTCATTCACTTTCTAGGAGCAAGCCAATAGCTCTGCAACAAAACCCTGTTATGACCTCACTTCTTGTGTTTCTCTTAAAAACACTTTAAACACATCTTTATTGGGTATTCCAAACACAGGCTGGCATAGGGCCGAGGGAGTGACTGTGGCACTGGGCACCCAGCTCATAGACTGTCCCTAGGTAACTTTTTTGATCCTTACAATCATTAAACGTTCACAAGAACATTTTAGCAACTGTTGGAAGGTGCTGAACGTGTGACCTCCTGGGCCTAGGAACTAGAGAAATGGCTCTGGGTGCAGATGGTGGGTGAAGTATCAATGAGGCTGGGAACAGCCAGGTTTTCTCTAAGTCTGGTCATTACTGAAATTGCACAGGTTTCCATTTATGCTCACACCCCAAATTCCAGAAAAGATAAGGATTTCCAAGGCACCAGGGAGAGGGCAACTCTAGAAGAACTGGAGAGAGGAAGTGAGCACTGGGTCAGCTCTAGAATTGCTATTTTGAGTAGTTGGCCGACTAGATTTGACTTTCCCAAGAGACACACTCTAAAACATTTTTCTGTTCCCAGAAAGTTGTATCTTCAAGGAATGCCCGTATCCACAGATAGTTTCTCCTCCAGCCACTCTGAGAGTTGGGGTTCACAAGGAAAACAGCAAAGGTTTCAAAGAATTGTCTCAATTACTTGTTCTCTTAGGCCTGAGAAAGCAATCTCTTCAGCCTCCCTGCTGACTTGGAGGAATTTAAGCTCTTGGACAATTCATTTAATTTGAATCTCTTCTCATAAACCCCTCAAGCAGCTCTTGGATATCCGTGACTCACAGGCATACACACACCTCCATGTGTATGTGAGATGCACACTTCTCAAAGGAAGGAGTTGGAAGACAAGGGACAGGTCACAATGCATACAATCTTTAGATGTAAGAAATAGCTACATTCATCACCTGCCGACTCTGTCTCAACCCCCAGTAGATCACTCTGAATCTTACCCCAGCTCTGGAGAGAAATCACTCAAAGCACCGCTTAGCTGATGAGGGAGCTAGTACTCCGAGCTAATACTCGGTGATATATCCAAGATGATGCAGCCAGACAGTGCTTACTCCTGGCTGCAAAGCCTGCACTTTGTTCTCACAACACATGAAAGCTAAAGATTAGGTGTTATCTGCGAAAAGCTGCCTATCACACAAATGTCAAGATGAGGCTCACAGTGGTGCAGACGTCTGTTCGAAGTCAAACAAACGGCAAATTCGGGACTAATCCCAATGGGCTGACTTATGCTCCTGCCCATATTGCTTCCTGAGACCTGACACAACGCTGCCTATGGAAGTGGCGCAGCTGCTCTTCCTGCGCCCAAGAAGGCACGGCTACACCTTCGCAGATGCACAACCAAAGCTATCCACTGCACTTCCAGGAGCCTGGAGAGGCAGCACCAAGTCTGCACTGCCCAAAGCTATTTAAAAATGTAAATTAAATCACATTAAAACTTCATCTCCTTGGTCACACTAGCCACACTTTGAGGACTCAATAGCCACCACTGGCCAGTGGCTACCAAATTGGACAGCACAGACATAGGACCTTTCTATCACAGCAGAAAGTTCTCCTGGACGATACAGCTGGTCAGAGCTGGAGGTGCCCCTGATAACAGAGGACACTTCACTTAGCTCTACTCCGGAAAGGCAGAAGATGCCCACTCTATTTGCTCTAGTCCCTAGAACGGCAACACATTATTTTCACCAGCCACCTGCCAGAAAGTTTAGCAGAGTGTCATGGAAAATTCATTACTTTGTTGAAAGGTGTTGTGGTCTTTTGTAGTTTTTTCTCTCACGTTACTATTAGCTCCTATGCATCCTTAAATCCCAGCTAAACTCAGACGCCTCCAGAAGCCTCTCCTGATGGGTACGGGCTGCCTTCTCCCGTGTCTCCACAGGGCAGTGTATGGTCCTCATTAGAGAATCTGCTTTGCTTTACTGGGAACATTTGCTCACACATCTGTCTCTCCACTCATCTTCAGGGCTTTGGGGGCAGGACCAAGGCTCTCTAACTTTGTGTCCTGAACGTCTGCAACCAAGGAGACGCTGTGGGAAGTGTATGCTGAACTGGCAATATTCACCAACAAAAAATAAGCACCAACGTAAGAAATTTTAACCAATGTATATTTTTCTCAACTTGGAAGCATCATTACCTTATCTTATAGTGATTATTCACAACCTAGAAATATAAAGTTTTCCAATACCATGAGCATAGGGTGAGAGAATATAATTCTTTATTTTAATAATGATGACCTTGTCAGCTATCATTCTATTTAAGGGAGAAATCTAGATTTTTTTTGAAAAGTGACATTTATGACCCTAGGACCTCTCATGCAGTTTCTTTGCCACAGAACTTCTTAATTCTAGGCAGTTCTAAGGTCCTTTGATCCACATCCCTTAAGATAAACATTGGGGAATCAAATACTGCCTTGAACATTTAGCACTGGCTACATAAATCAGAGAAGATTCAACAACTACGTCCTCTGCCTCTGAAAGGGGGGCCTCGGTGGGAACTGTCAGGAGGAGCTCGTTTCAATTATCCCTTCCAATGACCAGGAAACCTGCTCGGGTCAATTTCGGCTTCATCATCTCAGTTAGGAGCCAACCTCTTTTGATCTGTCCTCCTTTCCCAAAATCAAACACTTGGCTTTCAGAAGGATGTGTCACAGAAATGCCTTCTAAATCAAACGAAAAAGGAGAGCATTTCATCACTTTTTCATTTTAATCTACTTTCCAATATGTCCCACAGGTTCTTGGGTACCTCTTTTAGCCTCTAACCAAATTCAAAATAAGAGGACCACATTTTTGAGCTAGTTAAACCATGGAGCTACGAGATAGCTTCAAATAAAAGGAAAATTACTCTCTTCTCAAATTATTTAAGCAAAAAACAATTTTTAGAAACTTTTCCCATCTAAAGAAAGAAAGTAGCCCCAGATGGACAAGGCATGGGGATTAGAATTTTTGTTGTATGTTTTATTTTCTTCTTTATCATGATTTCTCCTCAACCATCCTTCTCTCTCACCTCCTTCCTCTTTTCCCATTTTTATTAGATTTCGGGCTTGGGGGGTGGGTGTCTGGACTGGGTTTCAGGCAGAGCTGAGGCAGGACAGAATCCAGGAAGGCCAAGTAGATAAAGCCCACATCCAGACGTCAAAGCATCCTTTTCTGCTGCCTTCAAAGTTCTTCCGTCTTTGATCCCCACCACAGTCAGGGTTTCCAGCTATGTGAACTTCTAAATTATTTAGAAATATTCTAAACAATCTTAACTTCTAACTTAGCTCCCCGGGCACCAGGGAGGTTCTGGAAAGCAGAAGCCCAAGATCTAACTTCAAAAGGAGAAAATTATTGCTGAATTCCAGCTGTTTCATTTCTATTTCAATTCACTTTTGCCCTGACCCGCCTTTATAGAACCTTCCAGAAATATTTTTTAAAATTACAAATGTTAAAGAGCTACATGAAAAAAGAACAACGCTCAAGACTTGACTTTCAATTTGTGACAAAAGAGAGAAGAAAAAAGAAAAAAAGGAATGAAAGGAATTGTAGAAACAGGTTGGTGTTACAGAGCTTAGAGGAACAAAGGAAATACGAGGAAGACAGTGCCCTAAGGTTTAAAGGCTGTAGAAACAGAGCTGGTTATTTGCACTAAAATAATGTCCTTCCATATTGCACATTATTACTCCTCTCTTCTATTCAATGGCTTCTTTCAAAACACAGTAGGAAAGCTAAGAAGATGGTATTGTGCTTAACTGGAAGGTTTCAAGTCTATGTGATCAAGATATTTCATTTATAGATTTGAAAAGGCATCTTTACAACAGATGTTGGTGATGGAAATTTTCAAAATATATATCTGCAAGAAGAAGAAGAAAAAAGATTTCAACTTTTTAGAAGGAAACAGGTCTGTTTTCCTCCATCTCTCCATGGAAGCTATCGGCGTGGAACTTATTCACTAACAAGTTTTTGGATTATCAGTGTGATAAGCAATGACCACGCAGACAAAGGACTCAGCACAGCAGTGGAGCTTCTGAGAGGTGACTCTTGGTGGCACCATTTCTTTCAAGAACTCCCAGAGATCCTGAGGGAAGGTGCCACACCACCATTCAGCTGCACCTGGACACAGGCAAGGGGCAGCTGAATGCTGACCACGTGGCAAGAAAGGCAGCTGAGAGGTGGGTTCTGGATCACCAGTCCTGCTCATTCTCAGGTGAATCCGAGAGCAGGGACACAAGGGGGACTGCTCAACAAAGAGACACTTTACCAGCTCGCAAATAAGGCAGAAGTTGTATGTGCAAATGCAAAAATACACAGCTTTGTTACTTTGCTTGGTGATAACTTCTGATGCATATACAAACCCAGACATGCTTACTTACAGGCAATCCTTCAAGACCATCCCTGCCAGGTAAGCCTCTGTCGCCCTTGGCCCCTGGCTGTCCTGGGAAACCTTTCATGAAAGACAGGGAAAATTGCAGAACATTGTTGATAAGACACTTCCTAATAACTCGAAACCTTTTTATTTTTTTCAAGATTCAAAAGTGCAATCTTTTCTCACGATTTATACGAAGTGGATGATGTTTAAAGAATTTCAAGAGAGTAATAATGCAAATGTCCAAGGTTTGCTCAGAAAGGAAAAAGGGACCCCAAATGCACACAAGTGACACAGAAGCAGGGCGCCTACAGGGACCCCATCCGCACACCCAGGGACGACTTTACCAACACATTCTGCTAACTTCTTTTGAGATAACGAAATCTGTGGAACAGAGTGAACCATACGTTGCTATCCTTTTACTAGGAAATCTTTATGACAATGAATTTATAGGCCATTTGATAATTTCCAACAAACTGGACAAATCCTACAAGTGTGGCTTAACATTCTCAATATTAGGTTCTAGTTTTTAAGGCAGAAAATTAGGTCTCTCATGGAGTAAGACATTACACTGTGAAGGTTCTAACCCCTTGAAGCAAATTCTGACCTGACCCCTTTCACAACTGGGTTCTTACCTATTTCCCCAGGGGGTCCCTGGGGCCCTGGGGGGCCACGAAGTCCTGTTGAGTCACAGATGAGGCAACTCTCTCCTTTTTGACCTAAAAAAAGGAAACATAGGGTTATTTGTATGTAACATATGAACAGCAAAGCAACAGCATAAAAAAGGCATAGAAGGTTGTGGTTAATGGTGTTGTAGTCAAATGTGAGATAGCTCAATTCTCTAACACCTGCTCCAGACATCACTGTCTGCTAAGCCACTGTGTGTCCCCGTCTGGGCACCCCCTCCACCCTCCACACACCTCGCAGGGAGCCACAAGGCACTTTCTGCAGAAGGACGGGGCTGCCCCACTAAAAAGTGACCCAGAACTCAATCTTGCCATCAACCTGAAAAGATCTGACCGGTACAAGTTTGTTTCTAACTCTAAAACTTCCCTTCCTTTTTCTCTTTGATTTAGCATTTGTTAGCAAACTTCACATACAGCTCCTGGACTAAACCCATGTTACGGGCTGATAGATGATCCCTGGACATAAGAAGCCACGAAAGCAAGAACAAACATCTGACCTGACACCAAGGAGGAGGAGGAGAGAGACCGTAGCACAGAAAAATGCCTTTCTTTGGAAATTCTAACACCTTATGTCTTGATTTTCAAACGAAGCTAAAAGTGTGCATGGTGTCTTAGATATATCTGTGTCCTAAACCTTAAAATGTCTAGGTTTATAAGCACAAATGAGGCCTAGCACAGAGTAGAGTGCACGTGGGGAGCCGTGCGGGAAGCCAGACAGGCTGGTCCACATCAGCTTTGCCCCCATCCTGACTGGCGTCCCCAGGCCCAGGCACTGCCATTGCAGCCTCATCCCAGCAGGCCCCATGGTTAGGAAGGGAAACAGGACCAACGCAGGCAGCCTGCGTCCCTGAAGTGTGGGCCAGGCACACCGCTTCATTCTGCGTTCTTCCCAGGGGCAGAACAGGGGCCCACCAGTGGGAGAGATACAGTGCAAGTCAGCCAACAAGCCAGCTAAGTTCTGGGTGCCCTTGGATGCTGTGGCTGTCTCTGCTCACAGGCTAGAAGTGAGCGGGGAGACACCAACGCTGCCATCTGGGCAGGCTGACAGCTCTGCAGCGGGAGATGAAGACACAGGAAGAAAGAGGCTTCTCCTAGGATTTGGGGGATGAATAAACAAGACCTCAGTACAAAGAACCTGCTGACCACAGACTCTCATGACACGGAACAGCTCATGTCAGAAAGTACTAAGCATCTGGTGACCAGAGATTCCTTAAAAAAACGCTGATTGGTGACACCCCCGCCATGACTTCCAGGACCACTTCCATCCGAGTTGTGCAACCTCTGTGGCTGTCAGCATTCTAAGATGCTAGCTGAAACTGTATGCCAGGAGGCATCTGTGTGGTAGACTTCTGAAGAGTAAAACTTCTTAGCAATCCAAAGCCAGAAACAGTGCACAGTGGGGTTGATTTCAGAGAGCGGCTGCCTATTTGTTCTACTCTCTGGGTATTAAGAGACATAAATATTGGAATATCCCGTGTTTATTACAGTCTAAGACACGCCTGTTCACGCAGTGATAATCCACTCTGGTTCCAAGCTTGTAAAGGGATTACGAGGTGTCCTGTGTTTGTGTTACAGCAAACGTGAAAAGACGAAAGGGGGAACTGAGCGCCAAGGGTGGGCTCAGCTGACCCAGCAGCAGATCTGCACTCCGGTTATGGGAACGCGGCTTGGAGCAGCGGCAAGTCTTCTCTGTACGCATATGTGATGGGGCTTAAAGGAAAGACGTGCGTTCCTAGAGAACAGGACTCTCAAACTTTGAAATGAAAGGTTGAGATAAGATATCACTCTCCGAGTTTAATCTGCGGGCTATGGAGAGGGTAAAGAGCTGCAACTCTGACTCTAGGGCCAGGCTCCCCTCTGCCTCCCAGGGGACAGCTCTCCCTCAAACGCCCTCCAACAGGACAATCTCAGCAGAGCTGCAGGAAGACACGTCCTAGGAAGGGACTTTGAGGGGAGCTGCAGGCAAAGGAAGAACACGCCCACGCCCACCCAAAGCCAGAGGAGTGTAGAGATATACCGTAACCTAAGCACAATCATCATTTTTTAAAAAACTAAAATCTCTTACCTTTTTCTCCGACTTCCCCGGTCAATCCCGGCTGCCCCGGAATTCCAGGAGGACCCTGATCCCCGGGTGGTCCAGGCTGGCACTCCACAATTCCATCTGAAATGGATTTTTAAAAGTTACAGGATCACTCCCACCAAACTGAAGCTGGGTATTTTCCCCCTCTCTTAATTCAACCTCTATTATAAAACCAAACTACTTTGAGGCTATTTGGTAAGTATCAGAAATCTAGCTTTAGTTTGCTTCAACAGTACCAGTATATTAATTTGGAAACCCTGACTAGCACACAGAGCTGTCACAAGCCCTCACTGCTAAAATTTCTGTTTTATAATCCGAAAGCACATTTCAGTTCATTAGCCCCATCCTGTACCTACTTCATTTTTATCTTACAAGGTACACACCACCATCCTTATTTTACAGATTAAGAAATTGAGGCTCAGAAAAAGTGGTTTGTCCATGGCTACACATCTGTGAAGTCAAAGGTGAGACGTGAACAACTTTATTCCTTTTCTTTCCCTAAGCAAATTTACAGCAAAGTAATCATTTTAGAGACGCAGACTGTTCCAGGGGGAAATGCCTCTAATTGTCTGTTCCTATTCATTTCTGAGCACCATTTATGTGAAGAAGCATGAAAATGAATTGCAGTAAAGCAAACACCATCTGTTGTGGGTTCTATTAAAAACAAAGTATTGTTTTTATAGTTCGGATACACAATGGTGATGGAGTTTATATTTCCTTTTCCACTATCTTTGGGAAAAAATGACAGAGTGAACAATTAGCATATAGGTTCTGCCGGGCATCCATGACAACTATAGTCAAACATGCGTGAGCTACAGCTCGTGCCCCCAACTCCCTCCACCATCTTCTCACTGGGACAGAGAGAGGCTGAGCCCCACGTTCTGCTGTGGGCCCCCTGGCGAGGATGCATTAGCCAGGGTCCACCTCTCCGGCTCCCTCACCAGCTGTCTCTCCTTTTCACGAGGTTTCAAAAAGGTGAACCAGAAGGCCTAAAAAAGGGCCCAAACCTCCCTCTTTTGTGACTTTGTTTACAGCTCAGAGGAAAGTTGGTTTCAAGCGTGTGGGAATTGAAGTTGGAGCAAGAAAGTGTTCCTGCTGTGTTTTATTTTTTCTTTTGCAGAGAAAGATTCGCGCTGAGCTAACATCTGTTGCCAGTCTTCCTCTCTCTCTCTGTTTTTTTCTCCCCAAAGCCCCAGTGCACGGTTGGATATCCTAGTTGTAAGTCACTCCAGTTCTTCTGTGTGAGCCACCACCACAGCATGGCTACTGACAGATGGGTGGTGTGGTTCCACGAGTGGGAATCGAGCCCGGGCTGCCAAAGTGGAGCACGCTGAACGTTAACCACTAGGCCATCAGGGCTGGCTCCCTGCTTTGTTTCTGGTTTGTGTGTTGCTTCTTTTTCCCCAGGAGCTTCTCACAGGTCGGTAAGGAGGCTGAGGTGGGGGGAACCCAGTCACAGGCCCACCACACCTGCTGGCTCCACTCCCACCTGGCTCCTCGCTGACCCGGTGGGTCTTGAACGAGGTGGAGTCCACTTTTCTGATTCCGTGAGCAGTCCCCAAATTCCTTGACTGTAAAGAACTGGCCTTCCCCAGCCCTGCCAGCCGAGAGGATACGGACTCCCTGACTCTGGAGACGCAGACTCAGGAATATTGACAGGAATAAACTGATTACTTTTCTTCTCCAGAACACACCTCTGGGCCATAGCTCAAACAGAATCCCTTCGCATCCCTGGTAAGAAAGCAACTTTATATCCTCATCAATATCACTTTACAATAATTTTAAGTCTAAAGCAAGAATATAGTGATTACTTCTGAGGAGTTCTAAATGCAAGTTCAGACTCGACATCTATGCTGTGGCTGAGTGAGGGCACCTGCAGTCACAAGTGGCCTAGGGCTGGCTGCCACCATATGGCACAGGAACACAGGAGCAGAATCAGGATGTGGAAATCTCCACAGTGTGTAGTTAATGAGCTACTGATAGACCCCAAGGTGGCCGTCAGTTTTAAGATGTAGCCTCTTGAACATACACTGTAAATCTGAATAAAAATCTCATTTGTAAATTATCACTTGATACTCTGCAATTGTGACCCAGTTAATTTACACAGACTCAAAAGGGCAGCCTAGAAAGCTGGGACGGCAGACACTACAAGGTGTTCAGTTAGCACATCCCACTCCGTTAACAGCAGTGGGAAGTTCAAGTCTTTATAAGAAGTTCATTCATATTCCCGTACTGGCAAAATTAGAAGTATCAAAAGAAAAACGTTCTCCAGATTTCCCCACAGCTTTCTCTCCTTCTGTCTGCCCATCACTCTATTTACAATTACAACCCATGGCCCACCCACCCCACCCCAAGACCTCCCTGTTGCTCCTCCTTGCTTATTTCTTATCCTCTCTTGTCACCTCCTGTGTACCTTACCATTTACTGATTCATTTGGGTTATATCTGTCCTCCTGCAGTGGAGCACACCCCAGGAGCACAAGATTGCTCTGTCATTTGTCACTGATCCTAGAGCAGTGCCTGGTGGATTATGAGCACACGCATCCTTATTGAATGAATGGGTGACTCAATGGCCCTTTTTGAGGCTCACAACATTCTCCCAGACACTTAGAGAAAGAGCGACTTTGGATTGAGTGCCTCCAGGACTTCAGGGTTTCATCTTCATTCTCCATGTTCCACAGAACCATGAGAGAGGGGAGGAAGTCCCGTAAAGTCACAGATAATCCATCCCGCTCCCCCACCCACTCGCAACACGTCAAAGGAAATCATGCTGATCCTTTCCCAGCTGAAGCTTCAAATCTGGAATCAACTGTTCCATCCATTCCATATGTGGCCTCCACACAGAGCCTCATCCATGAGAACTCCCATAGACACACGTTTGAATTTCAGCAAATAGATCACCTGGTGCTTAAGGCGGATGGAGCCTTCTTGCATCACCCCCACAGATGACTGGCGTTTTAGATGCTCCACAGAGCACATGTTGGCCCTGCTTTGGGAATCTGAGCTTACTCCCATTAGAACTATTAACTTAAATCCTCTGAAATTTTCTTACATTCTGTGTTGGTATTACTTTGGGACCAAAGGACCCCCTTAACTGAATCAAGAGCTTATGTTCTGTGCTCAGCTTTGACAGAGGGCTGACCTAAGAAAAACCCATGCAGAGACCCATTCAAACCTGAAGTCATTCATCACATCACCATGTGGACCGCGGTCGGTGCCTGTGCCGTCCCCTCCTCCTAGAGTGTGTCTTACTATTAGTTTGTGTCTCTAGAGAACTGCAATGCATTCTGCTTTCTCTAAGAGCTATACAACTCAACTGGTTTGCTTTTTAGCTTTAGGTGCCAGGAGATCAGAGTTGGTTAATGTCGTTCTTTACTCTTTTAAACCAGTTTCATTATTTTATTTTTACCATTCCTTTCTGTAACATGACTAGGGAAATTTTGCAGAGATACCTAAGCGGGATGTAAATAATTCCTAAATCACCGGACACCCCAACCTTTAGCATCCCACTCGAACCCTGGAGCTCCCTCCCAGCACCCAGGGAGCTCTGCCCGGCCTCCTGTCCTACACAAGACACCACGCCAAATGGTCCCAGGGGGAACTTACTCGTGTGGCCTGGCCGTCCAGGGGGTCCGGGGGGCCCAGGAGGACCCTGAAGCCCATCCCTTCCACTTGGTCCTGGCAAAGACCGGCCTGGAAATCCTTGGTCCCCTTTTTCTCCTCTTTCTCCAGGGAAGCCAGGAGCACCAGGCTGCCCTGGTACTGGGAAGCCTGAAAGCACACCAAAATCTCAAGTAAGTAGGCACAACACAGAGTTCAACATCCACAACACAAACTCATCTTCTTAACCCTGTTCGAGGTGAAATGACTAATGGCCATTGCTGTAAGGGGAAGTGCTCTAGACAAGTCAAAACAAGTTAAATTGGCAGGCTTCTTGCCCTGGAAGTGCTGGCAGTCAAATGCTCCCTACAAACTAACTTTAAGGAAAAGGGCCTCGTTATGCAGACATTAGAATCTGTGAGTTTCTTTCGGTGTAAATAGTATTCCCAGTGCAGGAGTGAAAAGGGTATCAAGGGTATATTCCATTTCTACTTAGAGAATAAAGGCATGAAGAATGCCATTTGACCAAGCAGAAGGGGACACGAGGCAAAGGGGACAGGGATCGGGCTGGAATCTAGAGGAAGGAGCCAGGAAGTGAAGTGAAAGGAGTTCTGAGGAAGATGAAGAGACCCCAACATTTAACTCCAGTCACTGATGAGAAAGCTGTAAGGTGCTGGACCCACAGCACAACACATCAAAGGCAGAAGAACTGAAGGAAGGCCCTGGGGGCGTCGGTCCACCACCCAGCACCCCCAGATAGGGGACAAGAGGAGAGGGAGCACCCCTAATAGAGAGAACAATGGGACAGGAGGCCAGCCAGAGGATGTGGGCCTGAGGAGGGGGAACCCCACAACCCGGGGGGCGACGGGCGGTGGTCAGCAGAGCACAGGGGACCGAAGAGCAGGGCCACAGCAATTTCAAGGGAATTTTTTAAAATTCTAAGTTAAGAGACTAGTGGGGGCAGATAATGGATTTAGAACGTAAGTATGGCATCCACTAAGGGGAGACACAAAGTGATGTGTTCACCAGAACAGCTGAAATCCAGCAATATTTTTTAAAATCGAAGAGAAGAAATTGATTGAAAAGGGAAAAAAGAGATGATGTGAAGGGTAGATCCAAAAGTTTTAGTAGAAGTGGCCAAGCGAGGGCAGCAAAGGTCCTGCTCGCAGCCACTGCAGAGTGAGTGACTCTCAGACGGTGCAGATGCGTCCGGGGCGTGGGGGGGCAGGGGTCTGTCCCAGCACAGAAGAAGGGGCTCTGGGAGAACTGAAACTTAAGAACTGTCAGAAAGGGCAAAAAGTCAAATAACAAATAAAAAAGGATAAAAACCCAAAATAAAACCAAAAACGTAAGGCTTGTAAGCACTCAGCTGTGGTGTCAATTCCAGGGTGCGTGAGAGTTTCTATCAGAGCGCTCATCGTATCTGCTCTAGGAACTGGGAGAACACAAACACCCTCACACACACCTGCACAAGTACAGCTCCTAGCCTCTGCAATACATAATCCAACAGAAAATGCAAAACTATTACCATCTAAGCATACGCTCAGTGAGGCAGGATTCCAGGGAGAAGCAAGATTAGAGGTGATTAGGTCAGTTCGAAGAGGTTTCAGCCTTGAGTCTAGTCTCAAAAGAGGACAAAGGCATTCCAGAGCTGGGGGAAAGGGTGAGCAAGGATGCTGACGTGGGGGAACCTGCCAGAAACTGGAGATCTGCAGAAAGACCCAGGCTGTGTCCGCGGGCACAGTGGGAGGGGCTGCAGGGTGGGGCTGGGGGGTGCTAGATCAGAGCAGAGTGTAGACGTGACTGGATGAGAGACATACGGGGTCCCACCCACGAAAATCCGTTTATAACTACATGCTAACCTGTAACCTAAAATAAACACATCTTGCTTTCAAAACTAGAAAAACGTGTGACAAAAGTGCTAGCCATTTTATGCAAACATCTAATGTACATGATAAACACGTTCGGAATATAAACCACAGAGAAGTTGTACAAATCTACAAAATTGCAAAAAAATAAATCAGTTAAGGATGCTCACCTGGAGGGCCTGGCTGGCCTTGTAATCCTGGGAAACCTAAAAGAGAAAGCAAGTTGGACAAACTGAGGCTGGTTCACTCACGACTTGCACTTTGTATTTCTGTGCCCATGCGGACCCACGGTCACGGCGAACAGGGAAAACTGAACTTGTGGAGGCACAGTGGCCCTGAGGCCACAGAGCTGCGGGAGATGGGCTCCTGGACCCAGCGCAACGACAAAAGAAAAACTCAATAGGACTGGTCACCACATGGTCCTACCCAGTGTGCACATGCTTTCAAAATGTGACTGAGTGCAGATCGAAAACAGAAGAAAGAGACAGAAAGGATGAGAGAAGGACAGAGGGAGGAAGGAAGCCAGGAGGGAAGGGAGGAAAAGGAAAGAAACTTACCCTTGGGACCTGGCTCTCCTCTCAACCCTGGAGTCCCTGGGAAGCCCCGCTCTCCTTTTTCTCCCAATGGTCCTGTGCCAATAACCTGAGTTACAGAGGAAAACATCATGGCGCGGCACGGGAGTGGCTGCTGCTGTATATTACAGCAGTATAGACCAAGAAACTAACACATTTTTTATTATCTCAAGAAAGCTGAAAGAAGTAGTCGTGATGGAGGAGGAGGGGAGGAAGGAGGGAGGGATATAAGATGTATATTCTACTTTAAAGAGTATTAGGAGAAGAACTCCTTCAATTTCCTCAGGTAATATGTAACAGGAACACTCAAGTTTTTTTACTGGAAGAGATTCTTTGCTTTATTTTTTAAAAGGGTCAAAAGTGGGACTTCCTTACAGTGCTAGGGATACAGGGCAAGAAGAATGCACTGTTGGCCTCATTAAAAAGGAGTGAACTAGTTCACCCCATTTCTAAAACACTGAAATTCAAGGAAAAGGACCGAGTCAAATAATGCATATTACCCTTAAAATAGAATTCCTTTGTAGTGATTAGGGGATATTATTAAAATCTGCTGATGAGGCTAAGGTACCAACAGGTTACTCAAATGCTGCTGCTGGATCACAAGACGGAAAATGGAATCAGCAGTCTACAGGAAGTCTTAAAAGCACTAAGGAGGTTCAATACTTTGACTCAATAATCCTATAATCCTATTCCTGGAAATGGAGCCTAAGGAAAAGTTATTCAACCCGTGACACATACACATACACAAAACATCGTGTGCAAATATTCATGACCACATTGTAGCAGTGCAAGGATGGCATTGCGGAGGAGAACGGCAACATTGTCATTGTTTCAAAAAAGAATCTGGGCAAAATGGTAAAAGGAATTAGAGTACGAGACTCTGGCAGGATGCTGAAAATGATAATTTGAAACAACTTGCAAACATGAAGAATGTTCATTTCTAAAAATAAAAAAAGTTACATCACTGACTGCAAGTATGTAAAAATATGCATATGGACAAGGAGTAAGATGTTATTTGCAAAAATAAAAATTGTTTCCCTAGGATAGTCAAATGATGGATGATGTGTTTCTCTTACCATTCTCCTCAAAGGACCACTTAAAAAAAACAGTTTCAAAATGTGTTGCTCATATTCTTATCTGTGTGCAAACCTTTTCATTTCCAGTGGTCAAGGAATGCAGCACTTATCAAAATAGAAGTACGTACCAAACTCCACACAATACAAACTATAAAATTATCGTTTTAAACAACATGCACCCCCTCTACATAAAGTGTAATTCTGGGAATGCTGTGGGGCATGTGGCGTATGCAACCGTTTTGCCCATCTCCTTTTCTTCTTCATTTCAAACACCCGCACAGCCCAGCAAACGTTGCTTTTACTCACAATTCCAGGCGGGCCGGGGGGGCCTGCTTCCCCTTTGTCTCCCTAAAAGAAAAACAATAGCTTTACTGGCGTTTTTTAACTAGAAAGATTGTCTTGCAGAAAGCAGGGTTAAACTTTTTTCTTCTGGAAAATTGAGATGTGCCCACATAATACTAAAATTATTTTCTCTCCTAGTGCCTCTCACTGTGATTAGTTTCAAGTGCTCTGTACCTATTAGAACAAAAACGACTACATTTCACTTTGCTTTGCATAAGTATGACATACGGAAATAAAGATTTCTAGAAAACATAAATGGGAGGCTAATTATTCACATTACAAACTAGCTCACAATATTTGTTTTGTTGACTGCAAGCTCCTCAGAGAACTTTAACAGAACCCTTTGTAAGGTGAATTAGCACACACTGGTTTTTCAATAACATGAAAACAAATGAAACAAAATGACATGAAAGCTTTAGATTTCCAAACATACTTTCATAAAGGCATCATTTTATTTGAGGTTTTTAGGTGTAAGATTGTCTAAAGCTGCACTGGAAGTCAAAATAAAAGGATATTTATGGTTTTTTCTTTCCCTTTAAAATCCAGCATTACCTAAAAACATTGAATGGATAAATTCGACTAGAACTCTGGGCTTAATTTAATCCATATTAGATGAAAAACTCAAAGAAATGAATTATTTTACATCTGATGTTCTTATATGAGCATCAATACTTTTAAGATAAGCATATATTCCATGAATGTATGCTTTTTCCTTGTAAGCCAAGGCACTGAATTTAGAAATTAAAACCAGAACTGGATGTTTTGATTTTTCTTACTTGAATATGAGAAGAGAGTTTAGAAATATCTTTGGGACTTATATCTTAGCTAATATACTCTAAACATATTTACCTTTTAAAATCTACAAGATTTGACTTTCTCAGCAAAAGTCTGAGTAAAGAATTTCTCCTTTTGTCCCTGGCTGTGAAAACAGGCCGTGAGGTCCTCCCCTGGCTTCACTCACTGTTAGAGACGACTATTGCAAAACCATTTCTTCTTTTAAGAGAGATTTACATAACCTCGTCTCATGATTAAAAGAGAAAAACAGCAACAATGAGTTCTTTCTGCCTATCAGTTTGACAAATATTTTTTAAAGTCTGATAAGAAGCAGTTGACAAATCAAAGGGCCTTGGGCTGACGGACGGACGTGCTTCTCTGGGGGCATATGGCAAAAGCTTCCCAAAAAGAGTTTACACCTTGACCTAGATATTACACATTTAGGAATTTATGACAGGGAAATGATCAGAGAAGTGAACAAAAATAATTTTAACCATAAAAATTTGCAAATGACCTAAATAGCATGCAGTAAAAGGCACAGACATTAAAAACCTTCTGCATTACTTCATTTCTGGACATTGAAATATATCCACGTTATATTATTCAGTGACAAAGCAGGAAGTAGTGGGTGATATCATTTCTTTTGAAAGCACAGGTATGTGTGTGCACACAGGTCAATTGTTAACTCTGACCACTTCTGAGCAGGTAATAGAAAAGTTAGATGAGCTTTCTTTTCTTCACTGTATCTTTCTGCATTTTCTGTTGTTTTGTAATCAGGCAAAAATAATCTACTACAAAAAACACAAAAAAACTTGAATGAGCGTTACATTTTATGTTTTTTCCTTAAAAATTCATGAACACAAATAAAACCACTAAATTACGTTGTATTTTTACTCACATGGAGCATCAATAATTTTTATTCTTTGATCCATGGTCTTTTACTCTAAGAAAAACTACTAGGTTGAACTATAAAATGAAAGTAAAAACTCAATGTAGTGTCACCATTTACCTTAAAACCCTCTCGGCCCGGGAGTCCTGGGTACCCTGAGTCGCCGGGAAACCCCTAAAATGGAACAGAGGAGCAACAAGCATCATGAGCCAGTGAAGACAACAGTTTGCTTTAAACAATTAGAAAGAAATACTTACTGTACTCCCTTTTTCTCCTTTTTCACCATCTTTTCCAGGTTTTCCCTGTACAATAAAGATTTAAACATTAGTATTCCATAATAATAATAAATACGTTGTAACAACAAGGGTCTGATTCACATACAAGTTCACATGTCGTCTCTGGTATGAAACCTCTGTGAATGTTGACAATACAAGAATAATAACAAGCAATACAGTATACATTGAATGCCTGTGAAAAAGTTCTCACACTAGAAGAGGACTTTTCAATTTTCAAAGTTGGAGGCTGATTAGCTCCCGACCTTCCAAGCCACCCCTGACACGTGGCAGCACAGCCAACACCAGAGAAGCTCTCCTACTGGCAAATGAGAATTTGGGAGGTGATCCACTGATGACTGACTTTCATGGAAGTTTCCGTGTGTTATTTCACGGCAGACACCGGAAAAGGCCCAGGTACTGCAAGCGGACGGGTCTCTTACTGCCAGGATTCAGGGGGTGGAAAGCCCCTGAGCATCCGGGCTCAGGGCTGTGCCATCTGGGCTCTGGGCACAGCTCCAAGCTGGGCTGGGTGGCAGCATCAAAGGGCACCAACACTCTGAGCAGGTGGACGGTGGCTTCAGTGAGGAGCCAGCAGATGGGGGGCTCTTCAAAGAGCTCCCCTTCCCAAGGCTGTCTTTGGGGGTCACCTGAATAATGGGGGCCCAAGCTTTCCTGAGAGCTCTTTCTAACAGTGACAGCTCTCCTCATTCCTGCTCCGAGGACTTCAGAAAAGCCCTTCAGGAGGGGAAAGACCCTACGAGCTCATCCACTCTAGGTTTCTGTCAACCTGTCATTCTAGGAATGAAAGGAAAAGGATTTTACAATAAGGAATAAAAGGATTTTTTTTTTTTTTTTTGGTGAGGAAGATTGGCCCTGAGCTAACATCTGTTGCCAATCTTCCTGTTTTTTTTCTCCCCAAAGCTCCAGTACATAGTTGCATACCCTAGTCGTAAGCTTTTCTAGTTATTCTCTATGGGACGCCACCACAGATGGCTTGATGAGCAATGCGTAGGTCCACGCCCAGGATCCGAACTGGCAAACCCTGGGCCACCAAGGCAGAGCACGGGAACTTAACCACTACACCACTGGGCCAGCCCCTAAAAGGACTTTTGAAAGCACTTACTCGGGGCCCCGGTTTTCCAGGTTCGCCTTTCTCTCCAACCCCTGGCATTCCCTTGAAAGAACAGAAAGAGAAAGAGTTAGATTCATTCATATACATAAGTAAAATGTTAAATTAAGTAAATGTCACATTTAAGATGAAAGAAGCTTGCAACTTAAATACAATACGTTATGATCTTTCACTCAAAATAATAATGATAAAGAAGAATTTAGTACTTACCTGAAATCCAGGTTCACCTTTTTGACCCTAAAATAATTTTTTAAAAAGAAAGAGATCAGTATTATCTAATGGCTGTATCAACTTTTTATGTGCTACATTGAACATGTAAAAGAAAATAAAACAAAACCCTTTCTTGATATATTAACAAAGAAATTCACATTGGCCTCCAGTATTCCCTTCCTAGCACTGCCTGGATGAAGGATTTAAGAAGGGCAGTTAATTACACTTGATCCAGGGCAACTGTAACCTCTTTCTACCCTCATTCTTTCTCCCTCCTGCTGACCCAGCCCAGCCCCAACTTGGGTGCATTTACGGAGCCCTCACTTGGGTGAAACAGCCTCAAATCAGTCTTGCTCCAACCAGTTCCAGCTGCCTTTGCTCTCAAAATGATCATATGGTATGTGACGGATAGTCTAGAAATCTGTTTTCCAGGTCAGGGGTGAAGGTAGCTGGAGAAACTGAATTTTGACCTGGCTTCTCTTTATCCCTTGGAATTTGTCCAAAATTACAAAGCCAGCATCCAGTGGACAAAGTCCACTTGTACCTTCTCTCCTTTAGTGGCAAAGTCTCCTTTTTCTTTGACTTGAGCTTGTCCTGGCACTCCTGGAGGCCCACTGACCCCTTGATCACCCTGTGGATGCAAAGATTGGGAATTAATTAAGCCTAAAAATAATTATACAGAGAAGAAAAATATAGAAATGCAGAGGGGGGGAAAGGTCTAAAATAGAACATCTATTTTAAAAATGTAACTGTACTCTGTTCTAATCTATCCTTGCCTCAGCAGAAAATTAAGTTTTCAGCAGGAAGATGGCACACTAAGTATCTAAAGCCAGGGGGAGACTTGCGCCTCTCAGGGGTCAGGGAAACTACTCCCTCAACAGCAACAGCGGGACCCGAACATCTATAGGACGCATCTCTGCATGCATATATGTACAGACCATGCATTTATGCACACAGTGTACCTAGCATGTATATGTACGCTCTCCTATCGCATACACATTGTCCTATCACATTATGACAGCACGGAGGAAAGGGACACGAGCTGTCTAAGAGAGCCTGGGGAGAAAGGAGGCATTGTTAGGTAAACCAAAAAGAAGAGGGCCACCAAGAATTCTCTTCCTCAGGCATCCTAAGTGCTGGGTACCACTGGAAGAACAGTGAATCCCAGCGATAACACAATGACCGAGGTCCAAAAACTCAACTGCATAAACTGCAGGGCCCTGGCCTATGGGGTTTGTGAAAAGACTGGGCCATAATGTGAGGTGGAAAGCGGAGGCCAACTGTTCCGTCAGGATCCTCCCAGGCTTGGGCTGACTTGGCACCCCCTAGTGGCCATCATCTACACCGGCTTGAGCACCGATGGAGAAGACCCTGGGCTGTGGTAGGCATGGCAGCTTGGCTGGTGCCGGTTTCATTGGTCTGATCTGGGGGAACCGGTGGAGAGATCACCAGAGGATCAGGGACACACCGTGGGCCTCCCTTTTTGCTAAGATGAGGTCAGCTGCTGGGGTCTGTGCCACCCTGCCTCTTGGGCTCATTTCCTCCCAATCCTGGGATGATGGCCTTTGTCTTTGTAGGGTCTAATATAGTTACGCTAAGAGTCAAGTCCAAAGCTGGCCTCTTGTAATAAAGTCCAGGTCTGGTTTTATCGCTGCCTGCGAACATTCTGGTTGAACTCTAAGTGCAGAGATATGGGACTCAGGGCCTTGTTGTATCCTCTGCTGGGCAGAGCACAAGCAGAGTGGTCTCAGTGAACTCTAGCTGTGCATTTTAAGGAAAACACTAAAAAACTCAAGAACGTGCAGAGAAGAGTAATGATAGCTACAGGGGGCCAAGAGCAGGTCTAGAGGCCAGAACCCTATCATGCTTAGAACCCCAATGTCAAACACGAAAACCCTCCAAAGCAGTGTGCACTCACCTTCTCGCCTTTTGGTCCTTGAAAACTTAAGCCCATTTGCCCCTGTTGATTAAAAATTAGGCTTCCATTATTAGAGTTGTCTACTTTGTTCAAAATCATCTAACAAACATCACATAAAATGCAATAAGATGGTAGGTTTAAGGCAAAAGCTTTGTCCTACAACTACCATAAAATTTTCAATGTCCATAAAAAAGTTCTTTGAAGTATTATTGAAAAAGAATCCTATAAAAACCTTTTTAAAGAAGTTTAAGGTTTTTAAACTCTGGCTTTAGAAAACAAAAGGAAAGATCAGTGATTCCAAAATAATGACTAAGGGACATATGGAAGGAAAGATGGATAGATAGATAGATGGATACATAGACAGATGGATAGATGCCTAGGTGGGTAGATGGATAGAGGGATAGGTGGATAGATGGATAGGTGGATAGGTTAGATATATTGATGGATAGATGGATGGGTAGATAAATGGACAGATGGACAGATGAATGGATAGATTGATAGATGGATAAGTTGGATATATTGATGGATGGATGGATGGATGGATGGATGGATGGATGGATAGATGGACAGATGGACAGATGGATGGATAGATGGATAGGTGGATAGGTTAGATATATTGATGCATAGATGGATAGATGGACAGATGGATAGATGGATGGGCGGATGGATAGGTGGATAGGTTAGATATATTGATGGATACATGGATGGATAGATAGATAAATGGACAGATGGATAGATGGATGAATAGAAGGATAGGTGGATAGGTTAGATATATTGATGGATAGATGGATAGATAGATGGATAGGTGGATAAGTTAGATATATTGATGGATAGATGGATAGATAGATGGATAGGTGGATAGGTTAGATATATTGATGGATAGATGGATAGATAGATGGATAGGTGGATAAGTTAGATATATTGATGGACAGATGGATAGATAGATGGATAGATTGTGGATAGAAGGAAAGGTGGGTGGACAGATGTTAAATATAGAGATATATAAGGAAATTATAATTTCCCAAAACTTTTTACAGAGATTTAAAGAATGATTTATGGCAAATTTCACAACAGTCTTATACTAATGCCAAAGAAAGACAGATGAAAAATAAATCTTCACCTTTTCACCCGGAGGGCCAGGAGGGCCTGGAGGACCCTGTAAGAGAGAGCATTTTAATTCAATGATTCACAACTCTGCTAAGCTTTAAATGTTTCTTTGTACTGAAGTTATCTTAAGATCCCATGGTTAACGCGATAATTTATTAAATGTTTAAATATTTTTTCCTGTACTCTAGAACTGTAAAACTTTGAAAGCAACCAGAAATTAGTCCAGGACAATTATTAACAGGGATGAAAATACCTCCAATCTTAGGCATCACCCTGTGGAATCCACGGACGTAAGAATGCACCAGGTTAACAGACGACACCACCAGCCAAACTCTGAGCCTTTAGTTTCCAGTTTGGAAACGATGTTTGTCCACTTTAAATATAACTATTTCTCTTAAAAAGTTGAATTTCTTCAAGCAAGTAGACTGTAGTAAAGTCAAAAAACTTCCCGTGTTTGCAACAAAATTTCAGAATGCTTTTTATCATCGTTTAAAAAGAAAAACTAGTCATTCTCTCCTCACAAAAATGAGTCCAGCTATTTACAAGATTATAAAAGAGGTTACATTTGCAGGAATGGACAGAAGAAGAATTGCTGGATTTGATCCAAAAAAAGAAGACAGAAAGAAAAGAAAGAATATGTTTAAAAGATAAGCCTGTGGCTCTTTCAAGGACTCACAGGCAGGCTCGTGTGCGGATGAAAGGCCAGGGGCACTACTCATTCCCACCACGCGTGACACTCGACAGATAAGGAAACCTTGTAAATATTAACTCTCTTGTGCTCCCAAAACTGTGTGGGTGGGAGGACAGGACGCCCTCCTTCTACAGAGAGTTACCAGCTGCGAAGAAGCCAGTGCAGGAGCAGAGCCCCAGGGAGGCTGTCTCCGGCGCTCAGTTCGCAGTCTCTATTACAAACACCGTGTCCTTCCCCGCCACCGGGACTGCGTCCATAACTCCCAACAGAACAGACCCTCTGGGCTGACTATACTCCTACAAGTCCGTCTCCAGGGCAGATTTTCTTAAAAATGAAGCTCATTTTCTCAAGTCAAATGAAGAAAGACCATCACTGCGTAAAGTTCCCATTACATTTTACTTGCACACCTTGACACAGTTGTTCTTTGAATGATCACCTCAGAGAGATATCCCCCAAAACTTACTGGTGGTCCGGTAAATCCTGGAGGGCCAACGGGACCTTGCAGCCCTGGCAATCCTGGCGAACCCTACAATTTATTGAGAAAGAGAAGAATTAAAATGCAACCTAGGAGGAGACTCAGCAGGGGCTTCTCATTATTCAGCAAACACTTACTGGTGTTCCTGGGGGTCCAGGGAATCCTCTTTCCCCTTTCAACAGGGTCCCGGGCACGTGGCCGAGTATCTCACCTGGGTCCCCCTATGGGATGAAAAGTAAGAGGAAGTCACAAATATTTATGTAAAGAAACTTAAAACCTATGGAATGACAGGCATGCATTACTGGTGTGGAACGAGCCCACATTGGGAGTTAGGCTCTGTCTCAGCTGGAATCAATGGACTGGCCATCTCCCCAGGCACTGCTACTATTGTAGTGACCACATGAAGTGCTGCACGGTCCACTCGGCTGCAACTGGGGCTGAACATACAGACAGCTGAGTGAAGGGATCCGTGACACTTCCATGTGACCGTCCCACCCAGACAAGGAGGAGTTCTAGACCAGCGCCCCATCGCTGGTTGAAAGACTGTGATCACAGGCTGCTCTCATGAAACAACACTAATGTTTTCAAGAAAACATTAGTCTGGGTGTCGCTGTGAAGGTATTTTTAAAGATGTGATTGACATTTAAATCAGTCGACTCTGAGTAAAGCAGATGACTCTCCATGACAGGGGTGGGCCTCATCTAATCGGCTGAAGGCTTTAAGAGAAAAAAGACTGACTCCTGTGAAGAAGAGAGAATTCTGCCAGCAGACAGCCTTCAAATGGAGCTGCGACATCAGCTTTTCCCGGGGTCTCCAGCCTGCTGGCCTGCCCTGCAGACTTTGGACTTGCCAGCCCCACAATCACGCAATTCCTTACAGTAAATCTCTCTCTCTCTCACTCCATCTATCCATCTATCGTTCCATATGTATTATATACATGCATACATGTCTTCATACATACACACACATCCTGTTGGTTCTGTTTCTCTGCAGAACCCTGACTAAAGCACAGGGCTATCGTAAGGATGCTGTTTCTCAGGTGTTCTTAAATACAGGGACACGTGAGTGCTCAACCTCATTCAGACATGCGGTTATCTCTTTTCAGTTGAAAACCTGAAGGCATCCCTTTTCCTGGGCAGCTCTGCAGGCACAGAAGCCACGCCCTCTGCACCTTTCTACAGCACAGGGAGCGCACAGTCTGAGGCCAGGTTGATAGGAGCCGCCGGGCGCTGCGACAGCATTCCCTTGCCTGGGGAAGACTTTACAAGGTTAATTTCTATAAAATTTCAGAGAGTTTCCTGAGGAGCTGAGGTCTTCTCTCTGCTCGCAGTTCACAGTGAGGAATGCTGAAGCAGCTGGCAGGGAGCTGAGCACATGAATGGACTCACTCCCACATTTACTCAGTGAGCAAACATGAATGAAGGATCTGCCAGCCACTGTGCAGGGAGGCAGGCCAGGGAGGAGGCACATTCGAGAAAAAGTCTGGATGCGAAAGTGACAGGACTTTATGATTAAAAGAGAGAGAGAGAGAGAAAGGACGGAGGGAGAGAAGGAGGGAGGGAGGGAGGGAAGAAGGAAGGAGAGAATCAGCACATGCAATTTTCCCATAGCAAAAACTAAATCAACCAAAGCAATGCCTGCTGGGTTCCTGGCTGGACACCCAGGTGGTGTCATCACCCTACTTAGCTAAGCTCACAGAGCAGCAGTCTAGAAGGGAAGGGGCGGGTTCCGTTCTGGAAGTGCCGGCGGGTGGCGCCTCCAGGACACCAGGCTGGGAGTTGGTGAGCAGGGATGGGCCAAGAGAGGAGGGAAGCGAGGTGGCATGCCTGGGAACGGGGCAGCATCAGACACACTGCCCATGGAGGAGAAGGCAAGTGGCCAGTGACCAGTGACGGGCACGGGGTTAACCACCCAGGCCTTTTCCTAGGTGCCCTGCAAGAGTGGATGAAGAAAGTGCCCTAAACTGACAGTAGGGGCCTAATGGCTCTGAGGGGCACGGCAGCGAGGGATCCAGGGCCTCTGTCCTCACCATGCACAGAGGGTCCTCGCTCGCCTCTTCCCTCCCCCCCGCCCCTCCCGACAGAAAGGGAGAATCAAGCTGAGCAAGGCTGAGACTGGCTCCGAAAGAAGGGGCCATGACACCAAGGATCTAAGCTCAGGCAGCAGTGACAGCATTTATAACAGAGTGACTCCAGATTACAGGCAAGGTGGAAAGATGGCCGTATTTAAGTGAAACCACATAGATTCAATACGACACCAATTTCAGCCCTTGTGGGTGGCACTGTGCTCATGTCTCGCAGCTCTGGAAAAGGGCATCATGGAGATGGGCTATGCAGGTAACCAGTCTGCCCTGGACTTGCATCTGTTAATATTCACCATCACACATGCTTCCTATTGCTGCTTATTTCCTATTCAGAAATCGTACCTAATGTCTAAACTTTAGATTTGAAAATTTAAGTTTGTGTACATGACTCACGTACTCTTTCCATGGAGCAGAGTTTAGACAAATATGTTAATAGCAATTCACCAACCAAAGTTACTTAAAGTAAATTGGTTTTTATGGCATCTGTTTTAAACAGACTTCTGTAATGAATCCAAGAAAGTAAAATAATGTACCTTCATTCCAGGTAACCCTGGTGGTCCCTAGAAAAGAAAAGGTTGGTATTAGTTTCGTTTTTCTCAAAACATTATCAGCATTAAGATATAAGTGCAAAAAAAGGAAAGAAGATGGAATGAGAGGAGAGAAATTATAACCCAAGAAAGAAATTCTGACATAACAACCCTATACTCACCGGAGTCCCAGTGAATCCAGGCAGACCGGGAGGCCCCAGAGGTCCTCTCTCACCCTGTAGGGACAGCAGACAGTCATCACGAGTGCTGGGCCAGGCACAGAGGACGTCACTCCAGATGCCCGCGCCATCCCTGCCCCACCCCCAGGGACCCGCATTTGTTGGGTAAAATCATTTCCTAAAAGTTGTTTGTTGCGAGCTCTCTTGCTGAGAGCGATTTCATCATAGAAGAAATGTATTTGAGAGTATAATTACTGGGGACAAGGATTAACAATAGCATTTTGTTTGATTTAGTAATAGATCATAGGTAAGAAGTACAAAGCAATTTTAGGATAAAAGTCTATAAAAATGAACGGCAGGATTAGGTGCTTTCTGAACATAAATATGGGAAATCAGTGCTCCTTCATCAAATGAAGAAAGCTTCAGACAAGGATTTTCCAACTGCGGCAACTAAAACAGAGTTCACAGGACAACCTTGCCCGACTTCTCCACGTGCGGGTCAGGTAAACGTGGCAAAGTGGGGAGGCTCTCTGTTCTAGACTTACCTTTGTCCCATTGCATCCTGGGATACCTGGGGGGCCCGGGGGACCATCTTGGCCAGGAATACCCTGCAATTAATAAAGCGAAAAAGTAGCCAAAATAGAATATCACCTGATGGTGCTCTCACTCAGTCAAATGTCTCATAGAGGAAGCAGGTGCATTTTATATACATACAGGAAGTCCTGGGTTTCCAGGGTAACCCGATGCTCCTGGGGGCCCCTGTAAGGACGGAAAGGAAAGAGTTTCCAGTGAGCGCTGGGGAACCTCACGTCCTCCCACTGCACCCACCTGCCTAAGGGCATCGTACCCGAATTGCTGGCGTTCAGGACGGCCACCCTAAGCAGACGGGGCATGCCGTGGCGGGCGGCCGAGGCCCAGCCAGGGAGGAGACAGCGGGGGCGGCTTCAGTAGCCAATCTACGTCAACAGCTGACTACTAGTTCCTTCCAAAATCAAGGCTGTGCACGCACAACATAAACTCTGTCCTCACTTCAGACTTTGCAATCTTTAGGGGATATATACACATATATAAAATGCACACTAAAATCTCACCCAGTTGGCAAGAAGAGTTTATGGGATAAATCAGTTCACCGGGGGAAGAAAATCAAGCTGTTTCTCACTGAAATCGGATCTTCTCCATCCCAGACAGTTCCAATGTTTCCTCCCTCTCTGCCCCAAGGACTCACAGGAGTGCAGAGGACAAGGAGAAACGACAGGAAGGGAGGCAAGCCCCCTCACGACTGTCTGGAGGTGGGATAGGGGGTGTTGAGGGGCCTCACTCTGCAGGCTCTGCTGAGTCACATGTCACCCACATCGCAACCAAGTGAAGTGACGATCGTACTCACTCTCGTCCCTTTTGTTCCTGGCAGTCCTGGTTCTCCAGTGTCACCCTGGAACAGCAGAGAAATGTCATTACGACCACTCGTTATAACAAGAATACAGATCAGCTGAACCCCACATGCCCCACCCCCATCACACAGCCAGGCTCACCTTTTGTCCTGGTGGTCCCTGCGGCCCCTCAGGTCCTTGCATTCCCGGAAACCCAATGACACCTTGTAACCCTGGGAGGCCTCTTTCACCCTGTAGAGGAGGAAGGAGCAAGTCAGACAAAAGGCAGGTTGAAAGAAAGCAAGGGAACGAATCAGTGCCGACCTCTCCAAGCCTCACCCCACACTGCACAAGTCCACAGGGAGCACCCGAAAAGAGATGCTGCAAACGAATTCCTATTCCAGCTGGCTTTTCTTGATGATTCTTCAAGCTCTTCGAGGACAGCAGTGCTCATAGACGATACCCGGTGCAATACTTTCTATACACTATATTCTAACTGATAAATAATATGTTGATAAACAAAATAACGGATAGTTGGTGATTTTTTTCACTGAGCTGCTTTTAAGTTCATTCAATTAGCAGAATCCTGTTCTCAGCAGACACAGTGCTGCGACTTTGTGAGCAGACCACCATCAAGTTTTCCCTCTGGATGCCTTCAAGAGGTTGTGGGCCAGGCTCACAGCTTGTGTTTCCACACAAGATGCTGAGACTTCTCTGTGCAACTAACAGTCTGATGAGGGACTTTCGTACGGTGTCTTTAAATAAAAAGTGTTTTTTGCAAAGGTAGGATCAAAGTTTAATTCTGGGCCCTGATCTCACGGAGCAAAAAGAAATAAGGAACATTATATTAAAAATAGTAAGTATTATTCAGGGTACACAAATAAGGCTGTAATACATTCAAAAAGGAAAAAGAACGATCAGAAGGACTTTGTGTGACTCTGAGCCTTAAGCTGGCCCTTGAAGGATGAATGCAAAACAAACGTATGAAGAGAAGGGAGAACGCAATTTGGGCCAGAGGACGGCGAGCAGGCGGTAACGAGGATGGAGAGATAGCTAGGCCCCGTGAGCACAAGAAACTTTAACAGCAAGAAACACAACTGGGACAAGAACCTGGAGGAACGAGGCATTAGCTCTGATGCTGGAGACAGGATTTCTTCTACAGCCGTCAACCAGCCAGTGACCTGATTAAGCGCTGTTTCAGGAAGATTGCCATCTTTAGATTGCCAATATAAAATCACCCATATTCATGATAAGAAATAAAAAAAATCTCTTTTTCTTTACAGTCTGTGGACTTCCATGTGGTCTTACAATACAAATTGGGCAGGTTAACCAGCATTAGCTGATTTTAAAAAGCGGAAGGCCCTTTGGAGATGCCCAGTACTTTTCTCACAGTTACATTAGTTCAACGTAAAAATAAACTGACAAGCTATACGTTACATAACATAAACATTTACCCCCAAAATAGCACATTACCAGGAGTTCCTTAAAAGTTTTTCACTGTTGCATAAATGCAAGGAGACAGAGCAGGAACTGTCACAGTTGTCCTTCTTTCCAAACCACAGAGCCAGTCCTGGCACTTGTGGTGAATTAATCGCCTGTTGCACTTGAGAAATGCAGAAATGTGGTTCTGAACTTGGAAGGCCAGCTACTGGGCCTCCAAAGATTGTGGGTTTAACTGGAAGTGTAAGTCAGGAGTCCAGAAAACAGCATGGGAACAAACGTGGAGGAGATTATCCCAAACTCTGAGACTATGATAAAATGGTAAATGGAGTAAAGAGAACTAGGCCCTACAGTTTGGCACACCCCTTTGGACCAGTGGCATCCAGAGAATCTACCAGAAAGAACAGATGCTAAAATCCCCAGAGCCCTCAGCCTAGGATTTGACACAGAACGCTGACTCCTCCCCGCTGAAGCTTGTGATAACTGGGAAAGAAAAACATTCTCAGACCAAGAATGGTTCGAATGTAAAGCCACTTAAATATATTCATTCTTAACCTAAAATAATAACAATGGGACACAACTGCAGAAAATACTGAGAGAGGGACATATTGCACACTGTCATCCTATCAACCTCTTCCCTTTTATTCAGATATGGGAAAATTCTACCCAAAATACAATAGAATTGAACTTCAAACAGCTGGCTAAAAGAATTAATGAACACTGAATTGTGCATCCCCAAACAACCTAACATGCGATAGGAAGGAAATGGGAAAGGCATGTCAACGTAAAAGCTGCCTCCTACATTTGGTGGAGTATTTGTAGCATTTGGTTAATATTGGCAGTATCACTCTGAGACCAGCGCACAAGAGATTTTATAACTCCCATTTTAATCATGGAACGCATGGAGGCCCAGAGCCAGATTAGCTGATTTCTACAAGTTTCTCACTGAGTCAGCACCAAAGCCAAAAATAGAAATGAGGTCAGCCTACACCACAGTCCATGTTTTTTCTAGGTCACTAGAGCAAGCTGGTTCCCAGCAAAATATTAAACAATTCACCCACATTAAGTTAGCCCCTTTTATGTCCATTTCACAGATAGGGAAATGAGGATTCCGATAACTGACTTGTCACATGTCACTCCGCGACCCCTGCATGTCCCTGGGAACAGAATTCAGAAATCTGAATTCCCAGTCTTGGCTTTCACCAAAAGAACACATTCTTTCCCAAATGTCACCGGAACACTTAAGCAATCCGTATATCCCAAGAGTTTTGAAATTAAGTAGCTAAAAAGGAAGTGACTCCTCCGTCAGCATGGTTCTTGCCGTCTCCCACATATTTTTTTAACTTTCCTAATCTTTTGTTCAGACAAAAGTACACATGAATAATCTAAATATCCCGTACCCTGTCCAAGGTTATTATGGGCACCCGAGCACAGCGAGCAGACAGGATAAGCATTCAAACAGCTATACAATTAGCTGGCAAACAGCACATGCTGTATGCGGGCCAAATTATTCCTCTGAGCTTTCAGCAAGTCTCCACTTGGGGTTCTAGGAAGAGCGAGGAGCTGGACAAATTGTGCAAAGGTTCTTTGTGCTGGTAGTTCCTAAGCCAGACTTTGCAGCTGCAACAGCAATACTACAGTCGTGACCACCCATAAGCTGGAGTTCACGGCACCATGTGCACAGTTAAAATAACTGAGAAATAGGACCCCACAGTCATCAATTTCCCACAATGTGCTAAAGGCATGGACTCCAGGACATGGCGGCCACACAATTCATGCCAGACAGAAATGAAACCCACACCGCTGTTATCACAGCAATGACAATTTCGAATGGAGGAAAGAAAAGAGAAGCTTGTAAACGATTACACAAAACATTTTGATGTAGTTAATTCAACAGTTTTATTCCTGAACATCAGCTCAATGCATTGTAGTAATCAAAAAAAAAAGAAAGTTTATATACCAACAACAGAAGAGATTGCCACTGTATCCTCAAAGATGAAACTCAAAATTTGAGTAAGAAGAACAAAATGCCTTCATTGAGAAAGATAGAAGAATACGGCCATGGGGAATAATCTTGGCATCAAAATTAGCCATTCTCAATTAGGCATGAAATAAAGTTTCATGCATGGAGCAACCTAAAATTTTTGCATAATGTATTATCTAAAGCAAGGCCATACTTAAAAAATCACAAAATATGGGAATAAAAAGTCCTAGTATCCAATTATTTCCTTTTGTCTTAAAATGCTTATGGAAACAAGTTCATGATGCATATCGAATGCTAGAATACAACCCCTGCATATCTAAGCCAGAAATCCGAATCCAAACGCAGCTCCCAGGATGGCTGCAGGTGAAAGAGCGTGAAGCTTCTAACTTTGGAGGATAATACAATTACCAACAACAAAAATTAAAGTTAATACAAAATATATCTAGAATAAGCAATCATCAAAAACCTTACTATGCCTGTTTCAATGGTCAACATGGGATCCCAATCTTTCAGTCCAACTTTTAATTTAATTTTTCACATGTAAAGTAACATGATCACGGACCTTTACCATGGACTGAAGCACAAGCAAAACTGTGGCCAGAGCACTGGGCGTCCTTCTCACAGGGGGCCTGGCTGTGAGGGGTACGGCCTGGTTCATGCATCAGAAAGCAGAACAAAGCCAACAAGCGATGTTACTTGGAAAGATTCTGCAGCTGGGTTTCCACCTCTTAGAATTAAATACTTTAAAGGCAGGGATATTGTTTTGTTCATTCACAGGGTTTGGCACAATCTTTGAACTCAGAGTTGGTGAATGGAGGATGAGCTGTACAACATGACACTTAGCATGAAGTTGGATCCTACCTACGCATCCTAAAAACTTTAAAACGTAGCAAAATACGGTTATTGGGCAGGATGGGACGCCAGGTCTCCCCTCCCCAGCCTGGAGCCCTATGGGCACCATGAGAGACTGGCTATGCAGCACCAGCCGAAGAACCAACAGGGGACAAAGCTGTGGTCAGGACACGACACTGGATCAGCTGTTTCCTTCTGTCATCTGGGACCTTGAGAGTTCAATGTCCAAGCAAGGCTGCAGATGACTGAGGAATGAAAGCATTTCCATGTGGAGCCAGAGCTCACCAAGCATTCAGTGATGGGGAAACGATTTCAAATGACGGGTCGCAGTCAATGGGTGACTGCGGGACTCAGCCAAAAATTCCACAAGTCCAATTCCTGGAGCCCAGCAACAATCAGACATCTGCAGGACCATTTCCTGAATACCGATGCTGCTGGGAAAGCGGTGGGAAGACCAGCATCAGAGTCACGGGGTCATGGAAAAGCTCTGTGACGAGGCCCCACTGGGAGCTCCATCCACACCACAAAGCTTGACATTATGACAGAAATATTGCCAGTGCTGCAGAGGAGAGGAGGGGAGAGGAAAGACACAAGAGCCCTAAAAGGTCCCGTTTCCACAGAGGAAGACAAGAATTCTGATCTTCCTTTGCACTATGAGATGCAAAACCGGATTCTTCAAAGAATACGCATATGTTAAAGTATACTATGTTTCTTAAAGAATTAAATGTAACAATGAAGCTTGTTTTATTTAACTGTTCTGGCATGACTGTTGTTTCTTGCATTTAACCTTTTAATAATAAAGCAGGAAAGAGTAAAATAATCAAGCACAAAAAGCATGGCTACATCTTCATCTTCTTCCCAAAGCTCTCTATCAAATATGTGGGTATATGGGAGGAGCTTTAGCAGTTATATATTGGAGGGGGGGAGAAAAGATGAGCCTTCTAGAGATTGTTCCTGGAAATGAGGACATTCCCTA